AACAGAACAGAATAGAACAGAATAGAGCTGGAAGGGATCTTGGAGGTCTTCTAGTCCAGTCCCCTGCTCAAGCAGGAGAACCTATACCATCTCACACAAGTGGTTGTCCAGTCTTTTCTTTAAAACCTCCAGTGATGAAGCATCTACAACTTCTGAAGGACAACTGTTCCACTGGTTAATTATCCTCACTGTTAGGAAGTTTCTCCTTAATTCCAGGTTGCTTCTCTCCTTGATTAGTTTCCACCCATTTTTTTTTTCTTTTCTTGCCTTTTGGTGCTTTGGAAAAGAAATTGACCCCCCTTCTTTGTGGCAGCCCCTCAAATACATGAATACTGCTATTATGTCACCCCTATTTCTTGATTATGTTTGCTAAGTGCCAAAATATTAAAATTATTATGAATTACATATTATTTATAGCATACAACCATTATTAGCTTTGACAAACAAGTATTATCTTCATTACAGATAAAAGAAACAGATGCCTTGAACAACAAATCTTACAGTTCATTGAATGAATTTTAACCTTGGTGAGTTATGCGATGGTAAATAGAAGGAAGGTAAAAGATTTACCTCTCAGTTCATCCAGGTCAGCTGCTAATACATCTGACTGAGAAAAATGGAAAGTTCTATTATTTCACAATAGCTCTAGTATTTAGGAACATAGAAAGGTGTGCAGATGCTAGGTGTAAACATCTATTAATCTCAGTCACAACCAACTAAGATATGCTTGGTTAGAGTTGTCCTAGGCCTAAAAATTAAGAAACAGAGAAAAAAATACTTTGAGTCGGGATGGAGGGGAGCACAGTTTTGTGCTGGTTCACCCCCTTTCCTCAGAGGCAGATCCCAATTATTGTTGATAGGAAGCAAGAGGTCTGGCCTGTAGCTCCTGCTTTGTGGGGTGCTGCTGGCCTCTGTATTCTCCCATCTACATCAAGCTGCTGGATGAGGTAATCCATCACCAAGGGATGATGTACCATCAGTAGGCAGATGATACTAGTTGTACATCTCTGTCCTGGGTGAACTATGTGATGCTATGGATGTATTTTGTGGTGCTTGGGGGCTATTTGGGATTGTATGGAGAATGACAGGCTTCAACAGAACCCTTGTAAGACAGAGTGGCTGTGGATGAGAGGGCTCCTCTTTATCTGGGGGTTTACCATCCTTGGTCTTCAATGCAGTTGCACTGCCCCAGATGAATGCGATGAGCAATCTGTGAATTCCCCTGGACTCACAATTGCTCAGGTGATAGTCATAGCTAGGAGGACCTTTATTCAGTTTTATGTTCTACATCAATTGTACCCCTTCCTGGTCCAGGAACACTTCTTTCAATCACTCATGCCCTGGTCATCTCCCATATAGATTATTGCAATGCAATAATATGGGTGTCAATGAACTTGATTAGCATTTATAGTATTTTCATTTTATTTACAAATAGACAGGATCAACAAACTAGAGGCATGAATATTCCAAAGGATAACCAAAGTCTATTGGGCCTAGCTTTCACAGCTGGGAATGGAAGTAGAAATGTATGCCTCTTCTTTGTTTGTTTGTTTTTTCTCTTTTTAATACATTCCATACATATGGTCTCAGAGAGAGCAGTTGGTTAACTACATAGTTCTCTTAACAATATATTACCTGAAGTTTATCTATCAAATGATGCACCTTGTTCTACCTGATCAGCAGGTTTGCACAACCCCCAAGTTCGTAGCAATAATCATAGTAAGATGGCTGACATGTCAGAGGGGAAAAAAAAACTTGGTTTTTACTTTAACTTTACTTTATCTAAATCACAAATAAGCAAACTTTTCTCCTGCAAGGGCTGTATTCCTTGAGGAAACTGCTATGGCCACAATGTGCTATAGTTGGATGAGGCCACAAGTAGGTGGAACTGCCCATCTTCTCTCTCAATCTTTGTTTTCAAATTAGGCCAAGGACTACATGAAGTTAAACTGTGAAATATACAGTAGCTGGATTTAAGGATGGAAATTTCTCTCCCTGTTCTTTGTAAAGTGAAGGCAATTTTCAAATTATTTTATGCTAATTAATAACCAGTCTCCACCACCAATAAAAGGTGTTTCGGTCCAGAAAATTTTGCCACTTGATTCTGAGCAAGCTGAGCAATCGTCAATGAATTTATGTGGTCTAATGTAACCCGGCCTATAACAGGCAGATAACTACTTAGTTTTGCTTGTTGTAAGATGAGTGACTGATTGAAAACCTGGCTCAGATGTAAATATTGAAATTGATTCTTTTGTTTTGTTTAGGATAATAAATCTTTCAACTCAACTATTCACCCCTTTCCATAACTGGAAGCATTCTTAACAATATAATTTACAAAGTCATTTGTTACTGAGTTTCCATTTGTTTGAACTGCATTCTTTGGCCTTGCTTAGTTCTAAGCCAACTAATAGGTTTCCTAACTTTGTGAGTAATTATGCCTACAGTACATACTTTTTTATATTATCGATTGTTGTGTGCGAGAAACATTACTTTGTCTGTCACTTTAGAAAGAGAAAGATGGGTGTGGTATAATTCTCATTACACCTTTCTAGTTTAAACAAATCCATGACATGGGATGAAAATTCCCTTTGATTTGAGCTCTTTTGGGGGGACTTCTGAGACATGTCTGCAGAATTTTCTTTGCACTAATACAGATTTTCCCTTCAGATTTTTTTTTTTAACTTCCGCATCTACATTAAAGCCCTGAGATTCCCTGCTGATTTCCTGTCACAATACTTACTAGATCTGAACCAGCTCAAATTTAAACTACTTCCTGGAATCATGAACAGGGCTGGATCTGGGAAATTTGAATCCTATTCTGCAGGAAGAGATATAATGTGACAAAGAATGACCACATGGAAATTAATATTCTTATGTACAAACCAAAATGCTCAGTATGGACCACTAGTATTGTTAATAAAATTCATCTTTTTAAAAGTGCAGAACTAATTTAACCAAGTGATGTGAGGAAAAGAGTAACAGCTCTTTACACAAAGCCTACAGTAAAAACCTTTACATTTCTGCATATACTGGAACCTGTTTAGGCACCATGAAACCTGAAGGGTCCCCAACCTTTTGGGCACCAGGGACAGGTTTCGTGGAGAGAGGTTTTTCCATGGACAAGAGGGTGCGTAGTTTTGTGTGCTGCCTGCATCTCATGGATGGGGCTTTGCTTGTTTGTGAGGCCCGGTTGCTGGCATGCTGTGGCCAGGTTCTGGTCCATGGACCGGGGGTTGGGGACCCCTGCTCTACACAAACCCCACCCAATGCAAGTGTTTATGACATCTGAATGGGATAAGTGCATATACAAGAATTTCCTCCTTCTTTTCTGTCTTTCTGTCTTTCCTTCCTATGGGCACCCATAGAGACAATCAACACAAAGTACCATCAACACCCAAAGATTCTTAAAATTAAATTTGTTTTTTCATGATTTTTTTTAAATGGGCAAAATCTCATGAGATCTCAAATCTTACAAGATTCACATGGTTTCACACACAATCTTGCAAGATATTGGGAAGTGGACATTTTTCAATATCTGTGCCATCATCTGAGATACTATAGTGTTCCCTATTAATTGAATAGACTACCAGTCCCTGATTTGACTACAGGTACTATATTGTAATATGTCTGGGGAAATACTTTTATTAAATTGTCATATTGATCTGTATAGAGAAGAGCAACAATTAGGGGACTGGAGGCTAAAACGTATGAAGAACTGTTGCAGGAACTGGCTAGTTCTACTTTAACGAAGAAAAGGACTGGGGGTGACATGATAGCAGTGTTCCAATATCTAAAGAGCTGCACAAAAAAGAGGGGGTCAACTTATTCTCCAAAGCACCTGAAGGCAGTACAAGAAGCCATGGATGGAAACTAATGAAGGAAAAAAGCAATCTACAACTAAGGAGAAATTTCCTGAGAGTTAGAACAATTAATCAGTAAAATGACTTGCCTCCAGAAGTTGTGGGTACTCCAACACTGGGAGATTTTTAAGAAGAGATTGGACAACCATCTGTCTGAAATGGTGTAGGGTTTCCTGCCTGAGCAAGGAATTGGACTAGAAGACCTCCAATGTTCCTTGTAACTGATTAGATTGATTAGACTAAAGTTAATTCAAGTTGCAGGATTGAGAAGCTGTTGCTTCCCTATGGGGAAAGCCTTCCCTAGCATACTGAAGTAAAGTTTTGATTTACTTATTTATTTGCTTTTTGACATTGTACAGGGTCTTTGTGGTGATGACATAGTTTTCCAGAGTCTTCCCCTCATTGAAAATTCAGTCAAACCTTTCATATATTTTTTTCACTCTTACTCCAAACCCTTTTTAAAGGATAGGTAGATAATTAAAACATCTCCATTAATTTAGCATTCAGCCAGGGTTATCTGGAAGCTTTTAATGAACAGCTTTAATTGTTAGCGTTCTTCAATTTTTGTTCAATATTGTTCAAGTGACTGCTACTTTCAGCATGAATATTTATTTAAAAGGTCATTTAGAACTTACGTATTCAGGATAGAACAACCCCATCCAATCTTTATTGATTATTTAAGAGTTCCAGGTAATACACATAGTGCTCCTTCCTCCCATTCTTCTTTATTAACAAAATTCCTGAGAAGGAAGTTGGGTTAAGCAAAAGTGCATGACTCAAGATCATCTAGTGAGCTCCTATGGCTGAGGGAGGACTTGAACTTGAGCCCCTCATATGTAGCCCAACCTCTTTACCATTACTCCACCATGACTCTCGGGAAGGGCAAGATCCTTGAAATGCATCTTCTCTTTAATCCTATTAAATGGTGAAAAAAAATGGCAAAAATGTGGTGAACTTTGTTCCTTGTTTCATCCAAGTTCCTTCAATGGTCACAGCAACTCCTAATAAAGTAAAATAGCATCATCCCACAACCTGTGCACCTGCTAAAGATTCTGAAACTCCACCTCTCTGGGAGCTTGTGAAACTATCTGGGAACTCAGCCAGAGTCCACACGCCTGCTATATAAGAGGCATCAAAAGACAAGTGGCTTCTCAGAAGCCCATCATATGGTACATGCTGCCAAGCTCCCCAGGCAGGATGGGGATAGGCAGGGGGACTCGAATACCACTATGGATTCCTATACTAATGATTATCTTAAGCCGTCATCAGAAAGGTAGGCAACTTTAAGAGAAGTTCATTTCCTTTCCTATGGAAGGCATTCAGCAAATGCCTGGCTTCTTGAGGGTCTGATAATTTTACACTGTTTTCTTTGCTTTGCCTCATTAAATGTTATCAGACTTGACAAACATTTGCTTGAGTTCTCCTATCAATCACCAATATTCCAGCTTTTAATGACCCCCTGAGCAGGGTTTTGATAGACGAAAATGATAAAAAAGAAAAACCAGCAGTTAATGGAGCCAATGCAATATGAACCGTAGAAAATTAATTCTCTCTTTTATGTACATTTTTCTGCAAGGATAAATACAGTTGATCAGATGTGAATGTGGAAAGTTACAAACTTGAGAAGGTTAATAAGGCAAATAAAAACACCGCATTGTTCAGGTGGCTTGTAATAGCAAGATTATTAAGCTCTTGAAGTCTATTGCAAAGTTCATGCTATTTTGCTGAATTAGAAAGCCAACATTGAATTGATTGCATTTAAAATCATCAGCCATTCAAGGAATGTGCACTTTATGCCCTCCTGGGGTCATGTACTGTCCTGTAATTTATCGGTACAAACAAGCATTTTTGAGATAAGGAACAGACCTTTATTTCATGTGATCTAAGGAGACAAGGTATTCTGAAAAGATGATGTTCTGGATATTTTCTTAAGCATTTAAATTCATTTCCCAGAGAAACTGGGGGTGGAAATTATGAGGGTCAAAACTGTTCAAAAGACAACATGTAAATAATTGACTGAAACCATAACCAAATATATTTATCTTTACAGTGGCTTCTTGGAAAAATACTATCCATTTTTCTTCCATCCCCTTCATAGTTGAAATAAGTGCAGCTCTTTTTTGAAGCTTCAAGGGCTTTGTTTATATCAATAAATATGATTAATAGTACCTCATGACAGACAGGACTGCTTATGTAGGTTTCATAGAATATGCTATACTGATACCTTAGCAGATCTGCCTGAATTAAATTAAATTAAATTCCATTTCCTTCTTTTGTCCATGTGTACTGGACAAGTAGCATTAAGATCAAGTGCAGTTGTTGTGAAACACATTTGCCCAGTTTCTACTCAATGTACTTGTAATAAGATATTGAGAAGTTTTCTAAGATACCCAAAAGAAGAAAATACAAGTTCATATTTTAATATGCTTCTGGTTTCAATATAAAATTCAAGACTCATTGTGATAATATTGAATTTGATTAATGTGAAAGAATTTTGATGTGTTGTACTAAGATGGAATGAAGTAGTTTAGAATCTACCAAAATCTAATATTATTCATTTTGGATGGTAACTGATATGTTAGAGTATAAATGTAAGGCTCAAAAGCAGTGAAAACATAAAATGTATTTTAGGTTCTTCTACTTTATTATTGTCATCATCATCATCATCATCATCATCGTTCTAGCATACATTTCAACCAGGAAAAATAGAAATATTATACCATTCTATATAAACAAATAACACACTGTAGACATACATGCATATCAATCATAGTCTTCTAATAAAATATATAAAATAATTTAAATTGTAAGTTATTTTGTATTAATAACAGACTTAAAATAAACTGCTAACTATATGTGTATATGAATCACTTCATGTGATTACATTTAGAATATTCTAGAGTTCTGGCTATTTCTTTATAAGAAAGGAAAGAGCAAAAATATTTAGCAACATAGTGCTCTTCTATAGGAGTAAAATCAGTTGAAAATGTTTAGGTTTGGAAGAATGGTTGACTAAAAGGTGAATCATACTTGTAAACTTCTAAATGCTCTTAAGAAAGAAGATCAAGAAAGTGTTTCTCCCTTCTCTTTTGGTAGAATAGGAATACTCAATGAACTACACAGATGGCAATTGAAGAAAGACTGGCATACAGTTATGGAACTAGATGTTACAGGCCAAAAGAATTGTCATTGCCTTAAAAATAGTTGTAGACTTCTGTATTCAGAGGCAGCACAAATTAAATTTCTATTTGCAGGATGAAAACAGAGGAAAGGGGTCCATTAACCCTGTGCTACTTAGAGACTTTCTAGAAGTATCTACAAGTATCTTGCTAGATGCTAGACTTTTATCTAGTGCGGCTCAAGTTTTGATACAATTGAGTTCTAGATGGATACAAGCAGACTCTCTGAAAACTTACTTTTATAACATTTTCAGATGTTCTACAATTTATTCCAATGACTATAATTACTGTGACCAGGTTCATAAGGCAGAAGGAGAAAGAAATAACTTACTTTGAAATATGTTGTATTTAGGACCAATAAATGCCAAGAGGGATTGCAAAAATATGTAACAAGACACTTGGTAGATTGTTTCCAGATTTATTTATACAGTATATAGACTAGAAAAACTGAAACCAATAGGATTTTAGTGAGTTTTGACTGATGGAAATTTCACTGATTTTAAAGAAGCTGCCACATGTATATTGAAATGCATGTACATCCACAACAGAGTTGCACAGAAAGATTTGTCATACATGAAGGAGAAAGAGAGAGGGAGGGAGGGGGAGAGAGAGCTACTTTTAGCTGCTTCAAATGCTGATGATGAATAGACAAAATAGAATATCCTAATGGATAAATAAAACACTAGAAGGACAACAATATTTTGCAGAATTGTTGCTGGTGAATTTTTCATGAAATCCATGACCATTAATTTTGTGCTTTTCTAATTTTTGCTGCAGTACATGCCCAGTTTCAATATCAACAATCCCAATATGAGGACCAGCAATCCCAATATATGGATCAGCAATCCCAGTATGAAGATCAGCAGTCCGAATATGTGGACCAACAGCTCTTCCCTCCTGACGAGCAGCAAGTGCAGCAGACACATGACTGTAGGTATCTGTAACATGATGTATATGGTAGAGCAAAAGGTGAAAAATAAGAATGCATAGCCCCACATTTCTACTGGTCTTTCAGGAAGACCAATAGGTTGCTTTCAGGTTGATTTCTCTGTCTGAGCAGCAAGCGGTAGGCAGAGAAAGCATTGGGCTTTCTCTTAGAACAGCAGCATGATTAAAAGAGCAGCATGATTAAAGCATGATTAAATGATTAAGGCCTGGAGACAAAAAAAACATATGGAGAATGGTTGCAGGAACTGGGTATCACTAGTCTAGAAAAAAAAATGGGTTAGGGGTGACATTGTAGCAGTATTCTACTATCTGAGGGGCTGCCATAAAGAAGAGGGCATCAGCCTATTCTTCAAAGCACTAGAAGGCAAGACAAGAAATATTGGATGGAAACTAATCAAGGAGAGAAGCAACCTGGAATTAAGGAGAAGCTTCCTAACAGTGAGAACATTAAACAGCTTGCCTTCAGAAGTTGTGGGAGCTCCATCACTGGAGCACTGGAGGTTTCTAAGAAAAGACTGGACAGCCATCTGTTTGAAATGGTATAGGGTCTCCTGCTTGAATAGGGGGTTGGGCTAGAAGATCTCCAAGGTCCCTTCCAGCTCTATTCTGATTAAGCACAGAGGAGAGAGAGGAAAAGAGCTTCTCAGACCCTCAGCGAGGCATACAGTTTCAAATCACTCTTCTCTTTACACATTGGATTTATTTTCACAAAGTGTTTCAGAGATAAGGAACTAGTAGAGCCAGTAAGAGCCACCACCCCTTTGTCAAAACAGGCCATTCATAATTACACAGATGGTCATCCAAACTACATCATTGGCACTTGTGCCACCAGGAAGTTATTTTTAAATTAAAGTTTCCTAATATATAACATTATCCATCCATCCCTCTCTCATTTTCTCATTCTCTAATGTGAACTCATTGTTTTGAGCCCAACAACAAATACATTTGCTTCATCACCTTTGCATAATAGCCCTTCAGATATGAAGATGGGGATCATATCACCTGTTAATCATCTTTCCTTCAGGCCAATGGGAAGTGGAGTGGAACAGGAATGTGGGCATTATCCCAAGGTATAAGTAGGCAAGAACCTGCAGACTCTATTAGAGGTGGGCATTGTTTGAGTTAGCTGGACAGAAGAGTCAGAAACACAGGGATTTGATAACCAGCTACTCTCTCCTTATAGTAAGGCTTCTATCTCTTCAAAGTGAGGTGACAGAAGGAATTGGCAAAAGGTTTAGCAAAGGCCAGTAGAAAGAAACAGGCAACAGCTTCTTCTATCATCCTTCTACATACAATACATATAGAACATGTTATATAGTTGAGACATTACTAGGCTCAAAGTATCATTGAGAAAAAGCTTACAGAAAGCCTTGGGGAGAGAATATTTGGGAATATGCTTGCAAAGCCAGTCAACCAATCCTGTATTCTTACTTCCCACAACCGGTCCTTCTAATTGCTTTTGTGGTTGGCAGCTGTCCAGCACACTAAAAGCAAAATTAACTGTTCATCTGCCTTCAATATTACCTACTTCATGCAAATAATTGCATGTCCTACAGCTGTTCTTTCCATTTAAAATAAAAGTGGAATCTTCCAAATCAGAGTTTGGCTAGCAAAAAAACATGAGGTATTGTTCATATTTATCAGTTAAGCAGCATACTTACAAACCACACCGGTATTTAATCTAAAACTGTATTTGAATAATGATGCTGAACAAATATGTTCTGTGTGTATGTGTGCATATACAAGCAATACACCCATGATAGTAAGTAATTTACACCCATGATAGTAATTAAAAATTAACTAGCCTTTTGATCTTAGGTTGTCATTACATCCCTTCCAATTTAGAAAAAGGCAATTTAGCTTCAAGTCTATATTTCTTTGGCTGTAGTAAGAATTGTTTGGATAGAACTGTTACAGAATCATTAAAGTTGAAGAAATTAAAATAAGAATGAGGTATATACCTACTAAAGTACAACATTTAAGATATGTATTTACCTGTGAAATGGATGGATTCTTTTTCTTGGTTCAGTTCTTAATATAAACTCTCTAGATTTTGATCATTATCTACAAGTCTAAATCTAATTTTCCAGTCAGATTTTTTGACATGTATTATGAAAATAAACATCAAGATGGGCTTTAAAGTAGTTTAAGGTATGCATTTCATTTCATTCAATTCACTTTCTATACAAGGTTGAAGTCAAGTCAACCTGAATCCTCCATTAAATCATTAAACCATTCAACTATAAAAAAAAGCTATACTGCCACAGTCACATGGTGCCAAATAGTAAGGATTGGTTCTTCACTTATATAGATAAATGGCAAATATGAGTTGCTCTGCAAATGGAAGGGTGGAGAAATCTTGCAGTGATTTTTGTCTTAAACAGATTAGGCTGTGGTGAAAGACAAACTTGGGATGGTAACTGCTTATTGGCAAGCAGCCACATTTAACAGCTTCTGAGTGGATTAAGATCACAGTGAATGAAAAAATAATAGAAAATGCTTGGAGCAGTGCTTATGCTTATGAGCCTGACCAGGATTTTCAGTTGTTGCTTTCTTCTGTATTTCTGAGAGAAAAAAAATATTTTGTGTGAAAACAATGCTGACAATGTTAGGCTTAACATTTTTTATTTTTTTTTTGGTCATTTTTCTCTCTCCCATTTGGGGCCATAAAGGTCTAGGAACTACAACAAAACTAATGTCAAGATTCTTTGGTTGACAGTCCCTGTATTTGAGGGATCAGGACTTTCCTCATACAAAATTTAATGAGTCACTATTTCAGTAGTGATTTAAATTCTTGGTTCAAGCTTGTCAACAAAAATATTCTTTAAAAAGACATTTTATTAGAATTTTAGAATACAATAAAAGTATAAAAAAAGAAAATTAGAAAATAAAGAAAGAAAAGTAAAAAAAAGAAAACAGAATTGGGACTTCTGCCCTTTTTTCTGTTGTGTAATTGCCATCTTCACAAAGAAATATTTTTTAAAGATAAACACACAATTGAAATACTAATGTAGTGTTCCACTACCCATTTATGAAGAAATTCAAGTGCAGAAAAGGATTCATTCTCTCACATTTTGATATGGATTGCACAATGGAAAAAAAATGTTTGCCAACATGGCTACTTTTATATAGGACACCAGTTTAAGAATTAAGCTTAACTATATGAAGAAAAGTTCCCATAATTTTAGCACTGATGATGATTTCATATAGTAACATTGCAGCTACAATATGAGATATAACAGAGTTTATACATCAGAATGATGTATTTGAATGATGTATTGCTATTTTCTCTATTTTTTTTTCTTTAAAACTTTGTTACAAGAGATATGTGCATATTTATTCAGGAAAAGATCTCACTAAATTCAGAGTAACTTAAATTATTATCAGGTAAATTCAAAAAGCTTTGAACTGCCAAATTTGTTTGTTTATTATTTATTTATTGTTTATTTATTTAAAATAAATACATGCCACCCATCTCATTTAGAGACAACTCTGGGTGACTTATAAGCATTAAAAACTGGTAAGCATTAAAATGATAAACAATAAACAAAAACAATAAGAACAATTAAAAAAATCAGGAGGAGGGCAGTATGAAGTACACAGGGAGAGTTAGAGTCTTCTCTTGATCTATAGTCTCCTCCAGGGTGGTACATTCCTGTTGGGGCCTCAGGCCAAGTGGCAGAACCAGGTCTTCAGGCCCTTGTGGAAGGTCAGGAGATTGGGTACAGATCTTACCTTGGGAGGTATGATGTTCTAAAGCAGTGGTTCTCAACCTGTAGGTCGGGACCCCATTTGGGGTCGAACGACCATTTCATGGTGGTCGCCAAACAACGCAGTCCGCCATTTTTTCCCCTTTTCCTTAGCTGTGCTACTCCCTTTTATTCTATTGGCTTTTGAAAACCAATAGAATAGACTCTCTTGAATAGAGTCTAATTCTATTAGCTTTCAAAAGCCAATAGGAATTATCCAGGCTGTCTCTGCCCTGCTGAGCCCACCAAAAGTCCCATTCTGCAAACGATGCTGCACCAGTTGAGTAGTCCTTGACTTACGACCAGTTGGGAATCGCGGCATTAAAAAGGTTGAGAACCACTGTTCTAAAGGACAGGAGCCACGGCAGAAAAGGCTCTTCTCCTAGACACCTGGACTTCAATTTGATGAAAAAACTATCATTATTCCTTCAACCTGAACTCTGAGAATTACACTGTATTCTTTGGAATTCCAGTTCAGAATTACTCAGCTAATCAGAGAACGAAAGATCTGCCAAAATAAATAGTAAATATTTATAAATATTAGAGTGACCTTGAACTGCAAGATAGGCAACAAATAAATTTGATCATAACAGAAAGAAATAAAATCAGAGATAACTATTACTAGAAAATAAACTCCATTAGTGAAGTTTAGAAATACTTTGTGGAAGTTTGTTTTATGAGAGAATTCTTTTCTTTCAGATTTTACCACATTAGCTCCCTCAAGTCCTGTGAGTGTAATCCCTGCATTGAGAACAACAATGGTGATCAAGAGTAAGTTGTTCAAAAATAATGATAAGTTTTAGATTACTTGCTCCATATGAATCATTGAGTTTAGTTCTATTCACATCAATAACGTGATCTCAGGGTGAAAATAGAGGACTATATTAATTAGGAACAAAGCAATCAAAAAGAAGGGTGAAAGGGAAGGAAATTCAATGGCAGATAGCAACAAATAATCACACTGGAATGTTGCTGAAATAATCACATGAATGATTGAGGCTATGTATTCTAGAGAAGAGAGCCATTTGGTTAAGGCATCAGGCTAGAAACCAGAAGACTACAAGTTCTAGTCCTGCATTAGGAACAAAGCCTTGAGCCAGTTGCTTTTTGTCAGCCCTAGGAAGAAGGCAATGGCAAACCACTTCCTAAAAACCTTTCCAAGAAAACTGCAGGGATTTGTCTAGGAAAAAACATCTTAGAGGAGTAGATGGGAAAATGAATGGGTGGGTTGGCTGAGTAAATGATAAAGAGGATGGTTTTGAACAAAAGGTTTTACATATTACTTTGAATCCACAGGTGGAAACTCAGCTCATAATCATAGAATCTGTAGCACTTGGGGCAATTTCCACTTCAAGACCTTTGATGGAGATATCTATCAGTTTCCTGGACTCTGCAATTATGTCTTTGCATCCCACTGCAAATCCTCTTATGAAGACTTCAATATACAAATAAGACGCTTGGTGTTTGAGAATGTTACTGTTATCAGCCGTGTGGTTTTGAAACTTGACGGAGTAGCTCTTGAACTTACTTCAAATTCCATTATTGTCAATGGAGAGCCGTAAGTTTCATTATTTAGACAAATGTATTTTTTGTTATTTCACCACCATAAATTCCAGTCACACCAGGACAAGGAGAAAGAATGTCATGTCATATATTGTTCTTATTTCAGTTTGACATTTGTAAATGAGATGTTTCTTGTAAGTGAATTTCAGTCACTTTCAGTTGCAACTTGCTTTACTTCCAGGGTTCAGCTGCCTTACAGCCACTTAGGAATTCTGATGGAGACAGTCTCAGGTTATCTCAAGGTCCAAGGGAAAATGGGAGTGACCCTGCTGTGGAATCAAGAGGATGCCCTTTTGGTAAGAACCCATTCCAAATATGGCAAGGAATTCCCATTATGATTTTGGAAATGACTTGTGGATCTTTGCTTACACATTATCTGTCTGTCTGTCTGTCTGTCTGTCTGTCTGTCTGTCATCTAGCTAGCTAGCTAGCTAGCTACAATCTATCATCATTTATATATCTATTATCTATCTATCTGTCTGTCTATCTATCTATTTATCTATCTATCTATCTATCTATCTATCTATCTATCTATCATCTAGCTAGCTACCTAGCTAGCTATAATCTATCATCATTTATATATCTATTACCTGTCTGTCTATCTATCATCGTCTGTCTGTCATCTATCTATTTCTATATATACTGTTTATACTGTGTATGAGAGAGAGAGAATGTATTGCTATGTTATGTATTAAAAAAATATAGACAACAACAGCACTTGTGGGTATTATTTTGTAATTAAACATTCTTGACATGATGGATAATAAGGGTACTTTATTAAATTTATATACTGCCCAATTCCCAGTGAGTTTAATGTTGTTTTGGCATGCAAAAACTAATATTTGAATATCATGCTGGTATAAATCCTAATAAAGAGAAGGTGAAATGGATTGGATCTCAGTTTAACCATACTTGCTCTTGATGGTGAAATGGGTGTTGTATAAGTTAAATCAATCAATCAATCCACCTTCAGCCTTCTGAAAGGCTGTAAAAAGCTGGCTCTTCCCTCAAACATGAGGAGGTGAGGTGGGAGCCCAGTGATTGTTGTTATTGGTATTTTTCCCACAAAACATTACTAAATTTCAAAAGAATATAAAAAAACAAAGAAAAAAAACAAAGAAAGTTAGAAGTTACTTTTTCCTATAGCTTTTTTCCCTTTTTGAATATTATTGTTGGTATTGGGGAGTGTGACACTAGGGTGTGGGCCTGTTTGTTTCAATATTATTGTTTTTTTTATATCCATGTTGTTTCTTATATCTTCTTATTGAGGTTATTGTGAGCCATCCAGAATTATAATGTACAACCATGTATATAATGATTTATATAAATAAATAGAATATTTAAAAGACAATCTCTGGTTAAAGTGATGTGAGTTAGCTATGAAGAATAGAACAATGACAGACCATCTCAAATAATTGTCTAATTTAGTAGTTGCTCCCACAAACAGTTGTATCTTCCCAAATGTTCCTCATCAAGTATTGATTTTTGCAACTGTTTTTGATACTCTTTGATTTGCATGAATCTAAATCTAGCCCAATATAATGTGTATGGATTACTTCTTTATTCAATCTTACTTACATGTCTGTTCTTGAAAATATCTTTATTTGCACAAATTAGAAAATGAAACTATAACTGCAAGACTAGGACTATCAGATCTAAGTTTCAAATATCTGGATGATCACTAGATGAAAACAAAAACCTAAGAGTTTACTACATCACACTGCTGTCATCTAGTGATTGGTCAGATTTTGCAGCTCAAAACTAGGACTTTTAACGATTAAGCATTTAAATTAAAGCTGTCTTTTGATGAAGTTTAAGAAAATACTAATTATTGTGGCAGTGTCGCCACAATAATTTGTTGTGGTAGTCTTTACTTTTTATTTCTTTCAGAATTAAAGAATAATCTATTAACTCAAGGGGCTCTGTAACCAATTTACTGGTTTTGCTGTCACACCCCAAACCTTCTCCTAATTTGGAAACAAGCTTATTTTTCTCCTCTATCTTTTTTTTTTTAAATGGACATTGTGGTTATATGACTAGAATGGAATCTGGGGCACATACAGATAAGTTCGGCAACGTCATTAATGTTTAAACAAAGAATCAAATGAATTTTTATTCCCAATGTTGAGCCTCAGAACCTTTTTCCTCTAGGGAGGAGGAAACACTAGCAAATGCCATTGTTCTTATGATAATTCGAAAGGTCCCTTCTTCAAATCACATAATTCAGAGAAGGAGCCTTCCAATACAAACCACCCCAGGAATGGGCTCTGCAGGAAAGATGGAATGAGATGGAAGAAAGACCTACATGCAGGATGGAGCATCAGAACAGTCATGGTGGGGCAGAGAGAGCTTTTCACGAATGAAGGCGAATATACATGTCCCAGGATAATGTTGCGGGATCCAATCTGGATCAATCACTGGGACTAGAGGTTTTATTCTCTGAGCTTTCAGACTTGTGCTAGAACCCATCTTCAGGGAACTCCTATCTAACAGAGTGGGTACTGTTCTGTGTGTGGTATTTATAGTGCCTGTTGTAAATGGCTTTTTAGACATTCATTGGGGTGTATTGATAGCTGGCTTTTAAGTCATTAGTTGTCGTTGGGCTGGCGGTAAATCAACACTTTTGTTGACCGATGAGGGACCTATTTCCCAGGCTTCAATCACTTCCTTGGGTTGGTTTTCAGAGGGTTTTCAGATGCAGTCACTTAATGACCACAACTGAGAGATCTTGAATTGCAGCAGTAGAGCAAGATGGTCAGGTGGGTGCCTTACGTAATGACTGCAATGATTTATGACCAAACGTTCGGACTCAGCTGCTGTTGTAAGTTGAGGACTACCTTTAGCCTCACTTCATTTATGTCTTATCTTCTTCTTGTTGGATCTTCACTTGTCTCACTTAATATGGTATCTGACAATATTCAAACATATTGCTAAATTTAGTTTAGGCCTCAGTGAATGAGGCACAGCAAAACTGGGGGCTGTCCTTTCTCTTCTCTTTTGGAATGACTTCAAGGAAAAGTTTGGAAATATTTATTTGATTTTAACTGGATCCAGTAACAATCGGGGAGGGGGGATCTTCCTGGACTCAAGATTCCTGCATGAGAGGAAGGTAGTAGTGATTGCAAAGAGACCTTTGCTCAATTATGTATTATATACCAGTTGCATCCCTTCCCCAATTGAGAAGCCCTTAATTCTGTCACTCATACCCTGGTCATCTCCCGTATGGACTACTGCAAAGTGTTGTACATGGGACTGCAGCTGCTGAAGAATATGGCAGCATGTGCAGTTCTGGGTGTCCTTAAGAGTTGCATATGTAAAACCTCTGTCATGTGAGCTGCATTGGGTGCCAGTTTGCTTGTGAGTCCAATTCAAGGTGTTGGTTATCATCTTTAAAGTCCTTCAGAGCATGGGACCAGGTTCCCTGAGGAACCATCTTGTCTCAATTATTTTGACCCAGTCCATGTGGTTAGTAGAGGAGATATATTGTGGTATCTGTTGATTAAAGAATTTTAACCAATGGGGACTATGAATATACTTTGGCATTGGCCCTGCCCTATGGAACATCTTGCCCCCAGAGGTGAAGTGGGACCTCACTCTTTCAACTTTCCAGAAGGGCATCAAAACCTGCTTTGTCAATTAGCATGTGGGTTCAAGAGTGACATGTAACCTTGGGATTGGTTGCGTCTGAGGGCTCTCCCTCCATCATTTTTTACCTTTTTACCCTTGTTTTAATTTTGTTTTTTAAACTTTGCTTTTAACTATGTCTCTTTTTATGTGGCTGTATAGATTTTTATTTGTAAACCACCCAGAGTTACTCAGGTGAGAGGGGCAGTGTATAAATTTGATAAAGAAATTGAGGAAGCTGAATGTTAACCAGATTGCAAATGGCTTATGAAGTAGACTTGCTAAAATAAGTCATAGTTAATATTAAATACCATCTATTACTCAAATACCATGATAATCTGTGATTAAGAGACATCAGTAACAAAACCTTTCTATCTTCAGTTTTAAGTGTACCATAGGAAAAGGGAGGAATGGTCTGTTTATTTTATGCTACACTGTGACTTAACATGACAGCCAAAAGCAACTATTGATTTAATGGGAATTCAAAAATAAGAAAGGAAACAGAATTCCACTATCAGACCTTAAACACTAATCCAAATGAACTTAATTTTAATCTCTACACATATTCATCTCTAGACCTGTTTACCAACGTTATACATACTGTATTTTCCGGCGTATAAGATGACTTTCTAAAGCGTGGAAATCGGCGCCAAAGTCAGGGGTCATCTTATATGCCGAGTTGTCTTATACGCCAGAAATTACGGTAGTTTCCGGTGTGTAAGACGATTTTCTAGGCATGGAAATCGGCACCGAAGTTGGGGGTCATCTTATACGCCGAGTCGCCTTATACGCCGGAAAATACGGTAATCTGTTGTCAGTTCTTAACTTTCATTCTTAAATCTCTAGATCTTCACTACAGTTACATTTTTTGTCTTGTTTTAGCTGGAACTACATGAAAAGTATGCTAATCAAACTTGTGGTCTTTGTGGGGATTTCAATCAAATCGCAACCTACAATGAATTCATTTCCAACAGTAAGTGGCAAAAAATAGAAGAGTTCTGTTTTTATTGCTTTTGAGGTCACATCTCATTTGTAGAACAGGATTTATTTTGACAAATGCCACTGAAAGATTATTGCTTCAGCAGCCTTAAAGTATGTTATTGTATAATGTTATACAAGGATCAAGATTGTTGGAATAGCCACTTCCAAATATGAAATGATCCTAGGTTTGTTTCTTTATTATTTGCTTTTTCGGAACTAATGCAGAAATAACATACATCATTTAAACCAGGATTTCTGTTTTTCATTTCAGCCTGGAAAGAGGGCTGCCAAGTTTAATGTGGTCAGAGATATGCCAGGAAGGGAAAATAATGGGTCTGTCTTGCAAGGAGCTACAGCTCAGATTAAGCTGTGTTTCTCAATCTCGATGTGTGAACTCCATGCTGGTGTAGAATTCTGGGAATTGGAGTCCACGTTTTAAAGTTACAGAGGTTGAGAAACATTGAGCTAAATGCAAGGACTGGTTGCAAAGTTACTTTTTCATCACAATCATAACAGTCACTAAATTTGTGAATTTTGCAGATTTGTAAAGCAAAAGAAAGCTGAAATAAGATCATAGTCACTGTCCAGGTTTCACTTAGCTTAATGATTGAGTCCTAATTGTAGCTACTAAACAAGGACAACCTGTAATGACAATTTGGAAGAGAGTGAATGCAGGGGCATAACTTTCTTTGAAGTAAATTCAAGAGGCCTCATTGGTAGGGGGGGCGGTCTGTGAAGAGGCAGGCTTAGAAAAACAAGTCAAGATAGCAATCAAAAGGGTAAGACTCTGGGCATGTGGTTACTGCTACCATCTTGACTTTTAATCCCCGAAACATCATAGCTCAGTGGCACATGATATCCAAAACTGAGAGGACTTTAATTCTTCATAATGGGAAGATGAGATTGGTGTAATTAACCTCATCATCTTGCCAGGAATCATCATCAGAGTGATGATCTTTCTTGGACCCTTTTGTCAGATTTATTCCATACAGAAGGAATATAGTAAAGTTGCAGCCTGTGTCCAGACAGGTCTTTTTTGTATTCCTGCTTTGAGAGCAATATTTTGTTTATTGCAGATGTCCAGCTGACTCCTTTGCAGTTTGGAAACATGCAGAAGATGGACGGACCTACAGAACAATGTGAAGACCCTATCTCTTTACCTAAAGGCCAATGCAGCCAGGAGTTTGTAAGGATTTGTATTTCATGTTATTCTTTATAAGGGAATTTGGGTGGGGTTTTTTTGTTTTTTTGCCCTCTTCTTCTTCTTTCCTCTTTCTTAAAACAGTAAAATCTTGGGGGGGGGAGCTTTTAAACATTAGCAATGCAGATCAATAATAGTGTAGTAGCTTCCTGTATTTATATACTGTTTTTCATAGTGTCATGTTTACATCTTAGCAGCGTTAATTTCTTCTTTCTAGACCACTCTTTGCCAAAAAATACTGACTGGTAATGCATTTGACGCTTGCAATGCATTAGTTGATGTGCGTGACTACATTGATGCTTGCGTACAAGACTTATGCCAATGTGATCAGTCTATGGCTGAAGCCTGCATCTGTAACACTTTTGCTGAGTACTCCAGGCAATGCTCCCATGCTGGTGGACACCCACTTGAATGGAGAACAGAAGATGTCTGTCGTAAGTATTAATTTTTAAAAAATTGTATTCCTATGGAGAACTCTTTGCAATCAGTGTATAGAATCCTAAATAAGGCAGTTAGAGACCTCACAATAGGCCATCAAGATCAATACTATACCTATGAAGAGAAATCCATATCCAATTCAAAGAGATGCAACCTACAACATTCAAATATTACTGAAGCAACTTCATCCGATTGGGCTAACCAATGGGATGCTGGGAATTTAGTGAAGGTTTTGAACTGTTCTTATCAGTAAGAAACTGGTGCTAATGTTTAATTTACTTTTTTATAACCCATTAGATTCAGTTTAGTCTTTAAGGTTTGTTTTAAAAAAAACAAGTCTTTGCTCAGTGTTATATATCTAAAAAGCATTATCACATGTTTCCCCTTGCTTGTCTCCATGCCATGTCTTCTTTTTTCCAGATTGATGAGAAATTCAGCTTCTTAATATTTGCCTCCCAGAAATTGTTCTCCTTAAGGACTCAAATATATTGCTAACATTCTGTTTAAGGTATTTTTACCTCTGGAGGGGGTAAAAAAGTATGAATAGGTTTTTAATGTCTCATTGTTCATTTCTATTTTCAGCCAAGTCTTGTCCTTTCAACATGCAGCATCAAGAATGTGGATCCCCCTGTTTCGACTCTTGTACCAATTCTGAACAGTCCCAATTGTGTGAAGATCATTGTATAGATGGCTGTTTCTGTCCCCCCGGTAAGTCAGTATCCAGTCAGCTGCCTGGCTGAAGCGTTTCTTGGTATTATTCTTTGTTAGAGACGTGACTACATGGAATTTCATTCCAGATAACATGGAAAGGAAAACAAGTTTGCAATAAAGTGTTTGCTCTTCTCTGACGTGTAAAAAACTTAATACTTCAGTGCTCTTGCAGTAAGGCCTGTTTAAAGGATAAAAATAAACACCTATTTTGTCTTCCCTAGGAGTAGTTTGCTATAAACTGATTGTATTCTATTGGAGGCATTATAAAAGGCATTTTTTGGAAAAAGAAAGGGAAAGACTTTAAATTTATTTATTTATGAGACTTATATACCGCTTTAAGTGCAAGCACTCTCTAAGCGGTGTACACCAGTAAGCAATGTATGTATCTTTTACATTGCCCCCAACAATCTGGGTCCTCATTTTACCTACCTCGGAAGGATGGAAGGCTGAGTCAACCTTGAGCCGGTGAGATTTGAACCGCTGACCTGTTGAACACAGTCAGCTAAAGTGGCCTGCAGTACTGCACTCTAACTGCTGCGCCACCTCGGCTCATATTGTTTGAATTTTAAGCAGTTATTGGTTTATTTATACATCTGAAAAGAAAACAACTTTTATGCTGGATGTTTTGTACTTTAATTTTAATTCTGTTTCTTGATCTACAATTGTATTGAGATGTACAAATAAAATAGAATAGATTTGTTTGATTTAACAAATCAAGGAGATTGGTTGAGCGCTAGAATGGAATTAAATTTGCTCAAGAACAACTTTAAGAAGATCAGTCGTAAGAATTACACAGAAATGTTGTTGATGTTATTCAAAATGTCTTTTCTTGCTGGAATTTACTACATGGCAGTGTGAAAATCTGGTTCATCCTCCTAAAAATATTTTTACCTTGTACTTTTGTCCTGATGGTGGCTTTCATGAACATGGTAGAGATCTGTTTCTTTAAGAGCTTTTTCATAAACCACATTCATAGCAATTAATATGCTGTTTTATTTATTAAATTTCTGTTCTGCATTTTCATTAAGAAAACAATCCCACGTAACTTGAAAAAGCTATTAAAATCAGACCCACTTGCAACTAGCCATACTTACACATCCCATATCAAGTGTCTGGCAGCTCTTCTGACACTCAACGCCATGAGCATTACCTGTGGCATTGTCACAATCAAAGTAGACCATAGGAGCGTCACAAACTGATAGGAAGAAAGAAAAATGATTCAGTTTGAGATTATATCTCGGTAATTACACAATTTATATTATGATAAATATTAGATTTTATGGATACAACTAACATGGAACCCCATGTTAGAAGAATCACAATCTTATTTTGTTTAGGTTTCTTAGTTTTGAATCATATTTCCCAAAGTTGGAAAATGCCTCTTAATAATCATAAAAGTAATGTAATTGATAAGGTTTTCATTTTGCTTGTGAAGTATACAAATTAAATCCACATGAATATTCATGCTTCAGTTTTAAAAACAGTGGTTGGATTATGGGCCAAAATTCCATGTGATACTAGTGATAGGAATGGAAGAAGGGAGCATTTTCCTCAGAACTACAGCACCTGTAATTCTGATGCTCTAGAGGAAAAGCTCCCATTGAAAGCTTTATAAAGAGTGGATTTTTATTGGGACCATGACTTCTTTTTCCACACACCATTGTTTCCAGTGAAAACTGGTTGATTCATGGTTGCTGTAAAATCACAACATGCTTCAGTGTGATCTGAAGTCCTACTCCAGATGTTGAAATGGTTCATGTGCTTTCGTGTATTTGAGGAAAATATAATATATTATATTAACGACAAGTATCATGGAGAATGATATAATGCGAATGATATCCATGCTTCTTAAAAATAGTGAAATGAATATGAATAACATACACTGGTTATTTCTTATTTTAGGCACTGTGTTTGATGACATTAACAATTCTGGCTGCATCCCCATTTCGGATTGTTATTGTTCTTACAATGGGGTTTCTTATGCTCCTGGTACTTCTTTTTCCTCCCAGTGCATTTCCTGGTGAGAATGATGATTCCCTGTAATTTAATAATGTTTTATTAGTGATGGGAGGGGGAATAAAGAAATAGGCATGTTATTTGATAGGTTAACTTGTTAAGAATATACTGGGCATAATTAATCATGCTAAGAATGTCATAAGACTGTGAAATAATGTTTAACTACACACTTAAGGGGATTTCTTTTTTGAGCATGATTTCCTTGTTGCTTTGCATGCTGTTGCTTCTGAACCCACCTACAAATTCTTGCCATGTGGATGCACAAAAATAGCTCTTATTTACAAAAGAACACAGAGTTGAAAGCTATACAAATATTTTTTTAAAAAAATGTGATTCATTTTTTTCTTCAAAAATTAACAGCTTTACAAATTATAGGTATCTATAAATCTATAGGTACATTTTGATTGTAAAAGGGTTCATTATGAAATTTAGTTATTTAATTAATTTAGGCATTACTCATCTCCAGCTGACTGCAGTTGGCTCACATATTGCCATATCAATTCAGTTTATACCAAATTGGATGAGATCCAATCACTATATAGAGGCAGAAACAAAATTAATAAGAATGCACCCAAGGGACTCTCTCTATCTTCGCCAAAGGTCTGGGAGAACAATCAAACTTCTTGTTAGAAATGTCATAATTCTATTTGACTTTTATGTCAGCAAGCAAATACTATCAAATTTTGAAACCGGAGTGTCTTAAAAAGCTCATCATGTATTGTGTAAAAAGGCAAATAACTGAAAATCAACTCTGCTTTTCTCTTTGACTGCTCTTCATTTGACATGCATTTAGTTAACTGAATTCACTGTTAGTGACAATAAAACCTAGTATTACCTTCTATGACCTGAGAAACATTTCTGAAGATGTTCATCAGCCAGAAGCACAGCAAACCTCAGTTGAATGCATTTTTCATTTTTTCTCCATTCTTACATTAGTTTCCCCCAAATCTGTTTTGCCAAATTAGAGATCCTCCAGAGAGGTTTTGAAAAGGAAAACCACAAGGAGGAGGAACATGAAAAAATCCTATTGCATGAAACTGTTTATATGACATTGACTATAGTTCTGAATGTTTAACCTAGAATATAGCCTATAACACCCTGCAAAATGCTGTCATGCTATGGCAGAAGTACACAATGTATGGGAGTAGATAGTCTCTGTTTTCAGGGAAGACTATTTATACCCACATATTTTAAAGTTTAAAAAACCCTGCCATCTGCCATTGCATTTCACCAATCTTGCTTTCAGATGCTAAGTGCCACCGTGTTCCATTTATCAAATGCTGTGTTCCATTTATTAAATTATTATTATCAACAATCAAATACTGAAGAAAAAGCTTCTATAAATTATAGCAAACATCCAGAGAATGTTCTAAAATTTAGAACTGGAGCATATTTGTCATCCAAATCCATGATGTAGAACTTGGATAAGGATTGAGGAAAACAGGTTATTCTAAGAATACAAGCCTAATTTGCATGACTAATATGCTTCTTAAAGGAGCTTTAATTAGAAAAACTCCAAATGCATTAATTTCTTTACTAAATGAAACAGGGCTTTTAAAGTACCCTCTGTTGTATACAAATACTTCCTTCAGGGTTATAGGAATTATACTGTTATGTTCATTAATACCATGAGTCTTTTAAAACATTAAATTGTTGTTGTTAATTGCGAAGTCGTGTCCGACCCATCGCGACCCCATGGACAATGTTCCTCCAGGTCTTCCTGTCCTCTACCATCTTCTGGAGTCCATTTAAGTTCACACCTACTGCTTCAGTGACTCCATCCACCCATCTCATTCTCTGTCATCCCCTTCTTCTATTCGCCTCAATCTTTCCCAGCATTAGGCCCTTCTCCAGTGAGTCCTTCCTTCTCATTAGGTGGCCAAAGTATTTGAGTTTTAAATAACACTGCAATAAAATCCTCAGCAAACATTCCATGTGGAACGCCACTAAAAATTTGTTAACAAAGGTCGTGCTTCACTGAAAACATGAGCATATGTATAGTACAACAACCAGTTCTTATTTATTATAAGGATTACTCTACTTTTTATATAGTAATTTGTTGGTAATTTCTTCCTCTTTTTACTTCAGTTCTTGCACTGGGGGACAATGGACTTGTGTCAGTCTTTCATGCCCTGGAGTATGTTCTATTGAAGGTGGCTCCCATGTCTCCACTTTTGATGAGAAATACTATTCATTTTTTGGGGACTGTAGCTATATGATCACTAAGGTAAGCTGCATGGACTAACCTACCCAAGGCTACCTGATTAGATTGATGGGCCTTGGAGAAACTTCCTATTCTTTAACATCAACACTGTAGTTTAAAGTTCCTGTTAAAGGCATGTATACCAATTCTAAAGAAGAGACCCAAACCATAGGTCCTGTCCACAGGATTGAGTTGTGATGATACAGTCTCCAACTATGTGGGATTGTCACATTGAAAACAAGGACCCTCCCATGCAGTGGTGTAACTGGGAGAGATTCAACCTTTCTATCAATCTATGTATTATCATCATGTCATATATTTTTATTCATATCAATTGAAATAAGGTTCCCTTCTTCTTGATTACACTTGAAATTGTTGCTCAAGATAATTGAACCTTCTTCACCAAAGGTTTACAAAAAGGATGATTATTTTTCCAATTTTCTGGTGTTTAGGGGGTAGGTAGATACATGTCTAATGACTGCACTCTTTTTTTGTTTGTTAAATTGTGGTGTCTTGTTCAAATAAGAGAAAAAAACATAAATCACAACTTTTAAAGTATTTTATTCTTTTAATTGTGGGAAGTAAATCCTGACCTACAAAAAAAAGAGTAAAGTTATTTTATTCTTATTATTTTAAAAGTCAGACAGCATGATGGCTCAGATGTTAAGACATTGGGCTTATTGGCTGGAAAGCTAACAGCCCATATACAAGACTCCGAGCTCCATGTGATAGGGTGAGCTCCCGTCCTCGCTTCAGCTCCTGTCAACCTAGCAGATTGAAAGCATGCAAATGCGAGTCAATAAATAGGTACAAATTCAGTGAGAAGGTAACAGTGCTCTGTGATATCATGCTGGCTACATGATTGCAGAACTGTCTTTGGACAGCACTGGCTTAATGGCTTTGACATGGAGATAAGCACCACCCCCTCTAGTCAGCAACGACTAGCAGAGTAAAATCCGCAGGGATTCCTTTACCATTTTTTTAAAAAAAAGATTAAAAGTCTCATTAGTTTAGAAGGGATGCCATAAGTTCAGGCAATTCAAACTATTAGTACTCTCTTTTTTTTCCAGCTCTGTGATAGCAATAAGTTCGCTGTTCTGGGAGAAATTCAAAAGTGTGGCCTGACAGATTCTGAGACATGCCTGAAAGGATTAGCTCTAAGTGTTGATGGAGGACAGACAGTAAGTATGAAGAACAAGAATGGATGAGAAGCATGCTCAATAATTTTAGGAATACTTTTTTTCACCAGATGCAGGGAGAAACAGGTTCAGTTTGCATGCAAAAACAGTTCTCAGTTGAGCTCCTGATACTAATGTTAAAGTTATACTAGAAATGTGCAGTAAAATGTTGACTTTCCAATTACAAACAGCGCATTTCATTTTCTTTACACAATGTTCTGTCCATTGTTTCTTTGTAGGGGGATCCAGGTTCTGGAATGTTTCTTTTTATATATATATACAAAGATTTTATTGCTTAATTTTTCCAATCAACAAGTTGTCTGGAGTTTGCTATGCTAATACATGTTCAATTCCTAATCCTTCATTCTTTCCTCTAACCAAGAATAAAATAGGTTCCAAATTTGATAGCAGTCTGTATCTTCTTTGTCTTTCAACCTCATAGTTAATCTGTCCATCTCTGCACATTCCAGTATTTTCCTGATTATTTCTTCTTCTGATGGCAATCCTTCATTCTTCCAGTATTGTGCAAAAATTATTCTCGCTGCTGTAGTGATGTATAAGATTAAATATAATTTCTGCTTATTAGTCTTTTCAGGTGTAATACCTAGTAAAAAAAGTTCAGGTTTAAAATCCACTTGTTCACACAATATTTTTTCTAACCACATATGTATCTTTCTCCAATAGGCCTTTGCCCTACCACATGTCCACCAAATGTGATAATACGTGCCTATGTTATGTTTACATTTCCAACATCTATCTGACATATTTTTAAACATTTTTGCTAATCTTGCTGCCGGCAGGTGCCATCTATAAAACATTTTATACAGATTTTCTTTGTATGAAGTTGACATTGTTAATTTGTAGTTTCTCTCCCATAACATTTGCCATTTTTCTAATTCTATATTATAGCCCAAAAAAATTGCCCATCTTGTCATTGTTTCTTTCACTTGTTCACTTTCCATATCTAAAATTAACAAAAAAATATACATTTTCTTAATTAAGTTCTCATCTGAGGTTAACAAAATCTTATCAAACACAGTTTGATCCTTATAAAATCCATACATTTTACATCTTTTTCATATCTACTTTGTATCTCTAAATGTGCCCACCAGGAAAATTCCCTGATTTTCCAGTTCTTGTTTAGATTTTAATTTCCCATCAATATTTAGAATATCCATATATATGTCCGTATTTTTTTCAAAGTCTACCAAGTTCAGATGTATAAATGCCTCCATCGTTGAGAACCACCCTGGAATTTTTAAATATATTTTAGCTTTAATTTTTTTCCTATTCTGTTGACAAGGCATTTCTTATAAAATGATTTTGAAAGTACTTATGTTTTTCCCGTACCATAAGAAAGCGTACCACCCCAATTGTAAATCATGTCCCTCTAGATACAATAACCTTTTATTTCTAAGTGTTATCCACTCTTTCACCCATGTTAACACAGATACTTGGTAATACAATGTCCATTCCAGCAACCCCAAACCTCCATTTTCCTTAGCATCTTGTAATGTTTTCATCTTAATTCTAGCTTTTTCCCCCTGCCAAATAAAGTTCAAAACCAATGAATTTAAATCTTGAAAGAATTTTCTCTCAAGTTTTATCGGAATCGTTTGAAATAGAAATAAAATCTTCAGCAACACATTCATTTTTACTGTAGCAATTCTTCCTAATATTGACAGCTGCAGATTTTTCCATCTTTCTAAGTCTAGCTTTATTTGCTTCAATAATTTTGTATAATTGTCTTCTTTTATTGACGAACACTTAGCCGAAAGATGAATACCTAAATGTTTAACTTTTTTCACTATTTGTACCTCTGTTTTCTCTAGTATTTGCCTTTTTTGTTTATCTGTGAGGTTCTTTATTATTACTTTAGTTTTTTCTTTATTTATTTTTAGTCCTGCCATTTCTCCATACTCTTCTATCTTTCCCCATAGTTTAGGAATCATCTCTAAAGCTTCTTCCAAGAGAAACACTAAATCATCAGCAAATGCTTGTAACTTATATGTTTCATCTTTTATTTTCAATCCTTTAATTTCTGTGTCCTGTCTTATCCTTCTATTTAGTACTTCCAAAGTAAAGATAAATAATAATGGAGATAGTGGACACCCTTGTCTCATACCTTTTTTTATCTCAAAGCTCTCAGTATAATCTCCATTCACTATCACTTTTGCTGTCTGGTTGCTATATATTGTTTTTATCATATTTATAAAATTCTTTCCAAAATCCATTATTTGTAATTGCTGAACCATAAATTGCCAGAAACATTATCAAATACCTTTTGGGCATCTAAAAACACTAATGCTAATTGTTTCCTTGGATGTAATTCATAATATTTTAATACGTCCATTATCACCCTTAAGTTGTTTTTAATTTGTCTCTTCGGTAAAAAGCCATTTTGATCTGGATGTATAAATTCAGCTAAATATTTTTTTCAATCTCTCTGCCATTATTGAAATAAAAAATTTATAATCCACACTGAGTAATAAAATCGGTCTATAGTTCTTAATATACGTCAAGTCTGAATCTTCTTTTGGTATCAAAGTAATATTTGCTTCTATCCATGTATTTGGAAGTTTGGCCTCTAACAATAGTCCATTACAAACATCTTTCAGTGGTTCGCTTAATGTATCTTGTAGATTTTTATAAAGTTCTGCCGGTAGCCCATCTGGGCCTGGTGTTTTATTTTCTTCTCTTTCTGTTTTTTGAGCTTATAAGCTAGCCAACTTCCTGGCTTATTGGCATTTTCGAAGAAATTTTGTTTTGCTCTCTTTATTTGTTCCGCCAATTTTTCTGAGTCCAACAAATTCAGCTTATGTTTTATTATTTCCATTTCTTTTTTCAAAGTCTTTTTCTGTGGATTTTGTTGCAATTCTGTCTCTAACTCTCTAATTTTTTCTTTTAATAATAAATATTGCTGTCTTCTCTGTTTATTTTTCTTTGCCATATACGTTATAGCTATACCTCTAAAATGCGCTTTAGCTGTATCCCATACGTTTTGTAGTGATGTGTCTTCTTTATTTTTTAAAGAAAAATTCCATTTCTCTTTTCACCAACTCTATGAATTCTTTGTCTTTTAGTATAGATTGATTTAAAATCCATCTTGTTTTTTTTTGTATTCCTTTCCATGTTGCTTTTAAAGGGTTATGATCTGCCCATGTGCCTATTTCTATCTCAATTTCCTGTATATCCATCTTTAATTCAGGAGTCATCCAAATCATATCAATTCTTGACCAAGATTTATGGCTATTTGAGTAAAAAGTATATTGTCGATTTTGAGGATTGGTTTCTTTCCAGACATTTTGTATTCCAATTTCTTTTGCCATATCAAAGAATGTCTTGGGTAGTCTTCTTCTCACAGGTTTTCCTGTTTTGCTACTTTTATAATCCATTGTCCCATCTACTATCGCATTAAAGTCTCCTATTAAACAAATATTTTGGTATTCCATTTCTATTAATTTCCTGTGTAATCTTTAATAAAATTGTTCTTGATTATCATTTGGGGCATAAATTGCCACTAACAGTATTTGTTTTTGATGTAAATATATTTCAACCTTTACAATTCTTCCTTCTTCATCTGAACATATTAATTTAGAATCTATTGTCTCTTTATACCTCTCATATACCACCACTCCTCGTTTCTTTTGTTGTGTTGATGTATGATGAAGCTTTCCCATTTTTGGGTATTCCAACAGTTTATAATGTTGTTTTTTTATGTGTGTCTCTTGTAAACAGATTATATCTATATTTAATTTCTGAAGTTTCCTAAAAATTTTATTTCTTTTTATTGGGGAGTTTAGTCCATTTACATTTACTGAAAAAAAATCCTTTTTTTTCTCCATTTCCTCTTTCATTGCTTATATTTTGGTCTAATCAATCTTGTAATCCTTTGTTCTCTGGCAATTCCTTCTCCTTCACCAGTTTGTTCACCTTTCTCCTTCTGTTGTTCTGCTTGTGCCATTGCTCCTTGGGCCATCTCTCCGATCTGTTTATTCTCTTGTTGTTGATGCAATCCTTCATCCAAAATTACTCTATTTCTTACTTCAAAGTCCTCTGCTTTCCATATTGAGTCCAGTCGGTATCTTGTATTATTCCAGTTTATTAAAATGCCTTCTGGCATTAGCCATCTGAAATTTATGCCTTTGGCAATCAATTTTGTAGTTAGAAAATGGTAGTGTCTCCGGGTATCCCTTACCCTCTTGGATATCTGTTTTAGGACCACAATTTCTTTATTTTTATATTGTAAGGATTTCTCTCTCACTTTTCTCAGTACTTCATCTCTTGTTGATTTCTTCATGAACTTCACATGCACATTCTCTTGGTAATCTGTTTTTTCTTGCATAGCTTGAATTCATACGGAATATTTGATCCATCTCATTCTGAATGTCTGCTCGCTCTGCGTTTAAAAATTCTGCCAGCAACTCAATAATCACCATTTCTATATTTTCTTCACTATCTTCAGGAATATTTTGAAACCTCAAATAATGTTCTGCTTCTCTCATTTCTACCATTGCTATAGCCCATTCTAGCTCTTGATTTGTTTGTTCCAGTCCTTCATTCTTTTGCAATAACATTTCCACATTTTTGTCAATATCTTCAGTTTTATTTTCCACTTCCTGGGTTTTCTGTTCATTTTTAATGATCTTTTGATTTTGAGCTTCAAATTGTGCCTTTATATCCAGAATTTCTTTGCTTACTTTCTCCAGTTTACTTTGTGTTTCCTCACTGTTCCTCTGCAAGATTTCTTGAATTAATTTTAAAGAGGCCTGTGTTTTTTTTTTTTATTAAAAAGTTTTATAAATTTTACAAAAAATAAAAGACAATACAAAAACAAAAAACAACATATACAAATAAAAACAAACATTACCCAACAAAAACCCCCTTCCCCCACCCCTACCCAACCTCCCCCTTCCCCCCCCCAGGGCCTCCCAGAGCAGAATATAGGCTTAATTTAAAAAAGTTAAAAAAATTTATATTTATATAAAAAAAAGAATATAAAATAGAATATATATATATATATAAAGTTAAAAATTATGAAAAAACTATATAGTATTTTTATATCAAATTTAAATTGTATGAATTTTATCCATTTATCCCAAACAGCAAGGAATTTCTCTTGCGTTTGACCCTTTAAGAAAGCCGAAATCTTTGCCATTTCCGCCAAATGAGACACTTTAAGAAACCATTCCTGCAATGTAGGCAAAGATTCCTTCTTCCAATATTGTCCTACTAACAGCCTCGCAGCTGTAATCAAATTTAACATCAATATAACCTCCTTTGTATCACAATCAATAACTATACCTAACAAAAATAATTGTGGAGTAAATTTTACCCTCCTTTTAAAAATTCTCTGGATATTCCACCATATCTTAATCCAGAATGCTTTTATCTCTCTGCACGACCACCAAATATGATAATAAGTAGCGTCCATACAACCACATCTCCAACATTTAGGTTGTAAGTCAGGGTACATAAAAGACATTTTTTGTGGATCAAGGTGCCATCTATAAAACATTTTATAAAAGTTCTCCCTTAAGTTCTGTGCTTGTGTAAATTTGACATTTCTCACCCAAATAGTTTCCCAGGTGTCCAATGGAACTGGCTCACCAAAATTCTGCGCCCATCTAATCATACAATCTTTAATTAGTTCCGTTTCTGAATCCAATTCAACTAAAACCCCATAAATCCTCTTAATGTGGGTTTGTCTTTGATCCTTCACTTGCTTAATAAGATTTTCATCTTCTCTGAGAAAACCCACCTTACAGTCCATCTTCCATCTGTCTAATAATTGCCTATATTGGAACCAAGAATAAATAATATTTTCTTGTGCTAACTCTTCCCGTAATTTTAACTGCCAGTTTTGTCCATCCCATTTAAGTAACTGTCTATAGGACACCATATCCATTTTAACCCCTCTTTTTATTCCTTCTATTGCATGCCAAGGTATAGCCCATAATGGTACTTTGAAATCACTTTTATAATATTTTCTCCAAACCCTAAGTAAAGAAATTCTTAAGATATGAGATTTAAAAGCCCAATCCATTTTTTTATTAAATATTAAATAGGCATGCCACCCAAAAAGTAAATTCCATCCCTCTAAGTGAAGTATATCAGAATTTGTCAAATTTACCCAGTCACTAACTAATGTTAAAACCACCGCATCATAATATAATTTCAAATTCGGCACCTTGAGTCCTCCCCTCTCACGGAAATCTTGCATAATTTTAAACTTAACCCTTGGCTTTTTCCCTGCCCAAATAAATTTATTAAGGAAAGAGGCCTGTGTTTCATCTTCAGCCGTGCTTGCTTTGTCACGCTGTAGCAATGTACTGACAGACAGGTTCTGGAATGTTTCTGTTCACTTTTCACCATCTATTTATTTCCTTCAAACTTTTTGCCATGCATATTAATTCCTTCACTTCACTTTCCTATTCCTTGTTTCCTTTCTTCTACTTTCCTTCCTGTTATTTTTCTTTTCCTCACATTTTAGTTCTTACTCCCTAGTAGTTTAAATTACCTTTCTGCTGGGGCCTGGCTCTTGGCCTTCACTTTCTTTATTTCTTTTTGTACCTGTCTTCAAATTTGCCTCACAAAATTCCTCCATAGCATAGAAATGCTCTGGATCCAAGTCTCTGAAAAATCTCAGAAAAATATTTATCTCATTCCACTTAAAACCTGTTTCAAATATTTCATTAGTTTTATTTGTGATCAATCAGTTATTGTCAGAACCTTCATTCTAATAAATGAAATACAATATAAATTCTATGTATAGATAGCTTGTGTTAAAAAATTTGGTTAAGCAAAATAACAAATGTGTATTTCCTAAAAAAAAGATAATGAAAAGCAGTATAACTGAAAGAAATGAGTTTGGGGGGGGGGGAATACTAAAATTTATTGCCACATGCCCCTTTGAGTCATTGTGTGTGATTTGGACATATCAATTTGCTTAATAAATAAATATTGCAGTAAAGACATTCTTTCTCGTTGTGTTTGCTCTAACCTCTCATTTCTCACTACCCAGGTCTTTGTGGTCAAGTCTAATGGAGCTGTATATGTGAATATGATTCTCACTCAACTGCCTATCTCAGCATGTAAGTTCTTTGCTATTTATATTCTAGCATTTTACACAACTTAAGGATTGATCTTTTGTTTCAGGAATTTATTTGAAATTCTTCAAAGTGTCTAGGTCGGGGTGTCAAATTCACAATGTCACATGACATGTCATGGCGTATTGCAATTTTTTTGCCATTGCCAGCAATGGGGTGGGTGCAGTTTCGCCATGACACATCCGGCCTGTGGGCCGGCAGTTTGACACCCCTGGTCTAGGTAGATGAGTAAAATAATATCTCATCACTTGACAATGATGGAGGAAAGAACTGAATATTGTTAAAAGTCCAATTTAGAAAGAGGAAAAGATGGATATTAATATATTATCAAAAAGGCTCTTCTTGGGATTTTAGATGTAATCTCAGACCTTTCCTTTGAAGTAGGTACTAGTTTATTGATCATGAGTAATTGCTAATCCTGTTAATAAGAAATATTAATCCTAAATTATTAGTTTATATTAGTATCAGTAAGTGATTGAGATGCAACATCTAAGCCTTTATCAGTATCACTTACTGAGATGCAAAGCCCAAGTGTATACTATGTGCTGCACTAACAACCACAGTTGCAAGACTCATCCCTTGGTGGCAATTGAAATGTATGCTTCCATCTGAAAACTACTTTGTTGTATGGTTTTGTTTCTACAGCCAATGTCACCATCTTCAGCCCTACCTCATTCTTCACTGTGATAGACACAAAATTTGGATTCCAGGTGGTGATACAATTTATCCCTATAATGCAGGTGTTTCTATACATGGATCCAAGCCACAAAGGGCAGACATGTGGTAAGTAAATCAATGAATCATTCTCACTACACAGAAGAAGGATGCTACAATGATAGTGTGCAAAGGATTAATGTATTTCCTTTTTGTTTCAGGCCTCTGTGGAAATTTCAATGGTATCCAATCAGATGACTTTAAAGCTATCAGTGGGGTGACAGAAGGAACCTCTGCTGCTTTTGTTAACACCTGGAAAACACAGGCAGATTGCCCCAATGTCAAAAACATATTTGAAAACCCCTGTACTCTCAGTATAGAAAATGGTACGTACATTTGTTTGCTGCTCTTTTCCTAGGCACTCTTCTCTGGCCTATTCCTCTCTTGGTGATGTTGATACTGCGGTTTTCCAGAATTGACAGTAACCATGGCTGTCCTAGAAACATCTTTAAAAAGAGGTTTTTTAAAAAAAAATAGAAACACATGTAGCATTGGGTTTTAAAAAAAATGTAGACATCCAGAAGGATTCTGAAATATTTAACTTTTCTGGGGTTAAAGTTGCTTGGGTCTAGAGTTATCAGGACATAAAGTTCCTCTTCACAATGGACAATAATAAGGATTATAATTATTATTCTACATTTATATCCTGCTTTTCCTCCAAGGAATTGGAACAACATTTATAATTATTTTCCCTCATTTTCTTCACAAAATAATCTTGTGAAGCATATTATACAGATTTGGAGCTACTGTGGACTTTCCTTCTACAATCTTTCCCCCAAAATAAATAAAAACAGTGACATATATAGTCAGAAGAAAACATGTCAGCAAACAATGAAAAATCTATATGTAATGTACTATACCCAAAGGCAACAGGACTAGTATTACACAGCTGAGAGAATGCATCTCTCTTGCCTGGTTTAAATTAGACTTTTGTGTAGCACAAGACTGTCTTTTGAGATAGCACAAAGCATTTAGGGATAAACTCATGTTCAGAAGCATGCCCAGTGCCAGAATGTGATGACAAAATGGCAAGTGTGTTTGCACAATCAAAGCCCCATCCCTGTTGGTGCTCATGCTGTGAGTGGAAAACTTAGTAAAAAGGAATAGGGCTTTGATTACTCTGTTGTGTTTGTCAGTTTGATATAGTTGATCTTTGTTGCAGACGTATATGTACCGTATACAGAGGATCTATAGGAAAAAAAGGTACCAAAATGATAGCCCATTTATCTCTGTTTTACAGAAAAATATGCTTCACACTGGTGCGGATTGCTGACTGACACCAAGGGGCCCTTTCAGAAATGCCACTCAATAGTAAACCCAGCTGTTTACCATAAAGTGAGTAGTTTTTTGTCTTCCACTGAAATGCTAAGATGAACCTAAAGATAATTCATGGGAAGAAATGCATTGCCAAATTCAGAGAAGCCAGATTTTAATTGGTCTTTTGCTGAGCTTTCTATGTTTGTTTGTTTTTTCACTAGCTACATTTTATAATCCAATCAATATACATATTTTTCACTTTATATAGCACACCAGGACCTACTCAATAGTTTACAGTCAAATGTTAGTATGAAATATATAATTTCCATTCTGGTGCTGGGTCTTAATTGAAGATGTCAAATAATTTTTAAGCTGTTCTAAATATTTTGCATTTCCTGGACTATTATGTGAATCAAAACATTATTATCCTTTAGATTATGTATTTCAGAACTTGCAATATAGTTTATGGTTTAAATTTGCATGTGCACATAGATATTGAGGAAAGTTGCATACGAGCTATATGCATTAGGAAAACTCAATTAAAATATATACTGTACATTAGAAAAACGCACATTCTAAGTTAAGATGTGAACAAAATGCATTTGTTAAGGCAAATTGTATAAAACAGTCTATGTAATATTTTTGTAATGTTTAAGAAAAAATGCAGAAAATGCAGAAGGAAAGAAATTGTAATGAGTTGGATTTAGATGGAGCCATTCATTTCCAGTGTAAATTCAAAGTTTATTTTACTGATTTATAGCACTTGAAGTATATAGCTATTCACTTTGCAGGATGCTATAATTCATGAAAATACCTTGTTTTCTGAAAGCTAATAAACTGTTACAGATGTGTACATTGAAAGAACCCAATTGACTAGCATATGACAGACAACTTAGATAAAAGCAGAAAGAAGGAAGGTTTCCAGTGCAATCTCTTCAAAGTTCCTCGTGATTTTTGCAAGGCCAGGCTAAAGCAAGATTACAGAAATGATGGCTCTTCAGATATTATTGCCTACCCCTTCTAGTAGCCCCATAACAAGAGAGGCTGGCTGATATCTGAAGGATCCAAGGATTGCACCATGAATATAAAGGGAAATATCTCTGAAGGAAGGTGACATTTGGTTAAACTAAAGTTCCTCTGTTTTTCTAGAACTGCATGTATGACACCTGTAACTGTGAAAAGAGTGAGAACTGTATGTGTGCTGCCCTCTCAGCCTATGTCAGAGCCTGTGCTGGTAAAGGAGTATTGATCACTGCATGGAGGACTAGTGTCTGTGGTAAGTTTAGAATAACAAAAAAGAGAACCAGCCTGGAATTAAGAAGAAATTTTCTGACAGAACAATTAACCATTAACCTGGCTTTCCTTCAAAAGTTTTGGGTGTTTCATCACTGGAGGCTTTTAAGGAGAGATTGGACAGCTATTTGTCTGGTATGGTACAGGATCTCCTACTTGAGCAGGGGGCTGGACTAGAAGACCTCCAAGATCCCTTCCAACTCTTATTCTGACTGTCCCTACTTGCTTTTAGCTCAATTAAAATGCTGCTGAAGGGTCCTGGACCATTGGAAGCTATCATATTTTTCAGAAAAGAGGAAAACTATATATGCTATCAAATTAGAAGCCTTAAAAAGTAACTCCAAAATTAGCTTGGAATCAGGCACATGCTTCAATAAAACTTTTTTTGTATTTATTTTAAAATACATACTGTCTGTGCAAAATTCTTATGCCTCATATCTTGCGAGTAGAGTCGATTTAATTCTAGCCACCTCTTCTGATTACTGAACTGTTGAGAGAAAAATCTTCATCAGAGTCCAGTCCAAGCTGTGAATAAACAAAATGGAGACTGCTCCAAAAAGAAAGTTGCAGTTTATTAAAGAGCAAAGCCAGACAGCAATGTGACTCTGGGAAAGCTGACCACATGTATCTGGGAGTGGGGGGGGGTTATACCTTCTTGGGCTTTTGAGGTTATTTCCTGTTCCTCTTTGAGGCTTTGTATTTCCTGTGTTATGTACTTTGACCTGAGTCTGAGTGTGCCCTTTTGGTATTGGTGGGTTAATCCTATTTTGTTTCTTGCCCTTAGAGTTTGGGTGGGGATATGCAGATTTTAGGGGTCTTTGTCTTCCTAATCTCATCAGCTTCTAGCTTCCTGGTTTCAACCTTTCTGAAAGGATTATCACATCTGCATTTCTAAAAGCTGGCCTCTGCCTAGTTTCTGCTTGGGGGAGAGGGTCTGGGGCTGGTTTCTATCTTTTTTTTTAAGATCTTCTCCATTATTCCTTTGGGGAAATATATTCTGCCTTTTTAAATATTTCCCCAAATATTTCTTTCTCTGGATTCTTTCCATGGAACTTCTATTGGACTCCTATTGCTTTTCAACAGATGAATTTTTCTGTCTCCTTCCAAGACTATTAGCTATTCACATGTCCTCCAGCCTTTTGCCTTCAGTATGCTGCCCTCAGGTTCTTTAGGTTTAATAGGTTGATACCCAGTATTTTAATTGTGCCAGTGGCAAATCAGAAGCCAGTAAATTCTTTCATCAATGGGATTATATGGCAATGGCTACCTTCACCAACCAGGAACTTCTCTTTTATGAGCTTTATTTTGGGGAGTTGCAGAAATTTGGAGATCTTCCCCCCTCTTTCTGAGAGAGAGAGAGAGAGAGAGAGAGAGAGAGAGAGAGAGAGAGAGAGAGAGAGCCATTGCAACCTATTGTATATATTAATTTCAAGTCATAATTGCTACATGAATCCTGCCGGTAAATCAATTCTTTTTCTCTTTTCTCTTCTCAAGCCAAATTCCAAATTTGTCCTGAAACCTGGACTTATCATTACAATATTGAAACATGTCAAGCCACCTGCCGAGCCCTCAGTGAGGTTGATGTCACTTGCAAAATCACGTTCCCTCCAGTGGATGGATGCACCTGTGAAGAAGGGACATACCTGGATGACAGTAACAAATGTGTGCCTGCCTCTAAGTGCCCTTGTTACCACAAAGGAACTGCCATTCCATCTGGAGAGGTGGTTCATGAAAATGGCATCATATGGTGAGAGACTTGAAATAAACGTAGTGGTGGGAAATAGCAGAAAGCCATGAATCAAAATGAAACAAAATTATAGGAGGGAGCAAGTTTATTCAACCTTACTTGTGAAGTGACAGTTCAGGGCCACAAATGCCATAGAACAAATAAAACTTCAAATCTGGTGTAGCGCTATTATTTTTACTTGTTACACTGAATGAAGTTAAAAATGGAATGGACATACCTATTGATCAATTTTGTAATATCTTGTAGTATTTCCATTTTTTTCACATTTCCATCTGTAAATATTTTGAGCATTAAAAGATACTTCTAAATGGCCAAATCTGTCTGATCTGAAAACCCAAGCCTTTTGAGAGACAGAAGAACAAAAATTTATTATTTTTGAAAATAGGACAGGAAAACTGAAATAGAACTGAATTTAATTGGTAAAGGAATCACTTTTTTATTGCTTGGTTTAGCTAGGTCAAAGGTAAAGTGGTAAAAGTGGGAGAAGCTGGCATTTGTGTGGATTTGTGGCCCACCCATTTCTGATAAAAATGCTTCACATATCCATAAGAAAGGACCCTATAATAAATGTAATAAATCAGAACTGTAAGCTTATTACACTTATGGCAATATAATAAGCTGTCTTACTCTCTTTCAGTACCTGTGTACAAGGCAAGCTTCAGTGCATTGGGGAAGTGAAACCACAAACAGGTACAACCACCATTTTATTCTGTTTTATTATGATGGTTTTCCAAACTTGTTCAGATCCAGCAAGGGAAATCTATGCCTAAGGCAAGTATAGTATTTAAGTGCAGTACTTTATGAACAATTTTGCTATTTAATTTGTCATAGTAGCACCCCCATCTGGCAATGAGACCATTAAATGGCAGGATTTGTAGAAACTGAACATCTGATTGGTTAATCTAGAAAGAAACATGGAATTAGATCTCCCACAAGAGGAGAATTCCTTGAGCAAAGTTGTTGGCTCAAGATACTCTGGCAACCAAGAGATATGCAACTGGTTTTTCCTCTGTAACATGCAGAGTTTTGATATAGAATGTCCTCGACTCTCCAAACCAGAATTGGGGACTGAGGAGGTTATAAGAGAAGGAGAGCAGCCACTGAAGGTTCACAATCCAACCACTGTTTTTAAAACTAAAGCATGAATATTCATGTGGATTTAATTTGTATACTTCACAAGCAAATTGAAAACTTTGTCAATTACATTAATTTTATGATTATTAAGAGGCATTTTCCAACTTCGGGAAATATGATTCAAAACTAAGAAACTAAACAAAACAAGATTGTGATTCTTCTAACATGAGGTCCAATATTAGTTGTATCCATAAAATCTAATGTTTGTCATAATATAAATTGTGTAATTACCGAGATATAATCTCAAACTGAATCTTTTTTTTTTCTTCCTACCAGTTTGTGACGCTCCTATGATCTACTTTGATTGTGACAATATCACAGCTAATGCTCATGGAGTTGAGTGCCAGAAGAGCTGCCAGACACTTGATATGGGATGTGTAAGTATGGCTAGTTGTAAGTGGATTTTAATAGCTTTTTCAAGTTACATGGGATTGTTTTCTTAATGAAAATGCAGAGCACAAATTTAATAAATAAAACAGCATATTAATAACTGAAATTATTATCAGTTGAGTTAAATATATGAAGCTGTCTGCCAGCAGGTAATTGACTGTAGTGAAAATGGTCTTTCTGTCTCCAAAACTTCCAGCACAACTTGGCACACTATTCTCCTATCACTTTAGGGAGATATTGTCAAATAGAAATCAGTCTGATAGGTCACAAGAGATGATGGTTAATGAAGTACCTAAAAATCTTCTCAGATTTTTCTGAGAGAGAGGAGAACTAACTCTTATGATACAGTAAATCTGCTTAACAAGCATGGCTTAGTCATTTGATTCTATTAAAGGTTATTAAACTTATGCCAAGTCACTGTCCAGAGGTGCATAAAAATAAAATTCAGGGAGCCCTCTTCATATCAAAATTCCTGGAGGAAAGGGAACTTGAAACACCAGTGTACACATTAAAAAAGTAGGAAAAACTGGTGCTAATTTGAAATCACTTTTTCTTTGTATGATATCTTAGAAATGTTACTTCTTGTCCTACAGTTTTGTCAGATAACAATTTTTGTTATTCCTCTATTACTGCAGTATAGCGCACAGTGTGTCTCTGGTTGTGTGTGTCCTGATCAGCTAGTGTCTAATGGTACAGGCAAATGTATACCTGCAGAAGACTGTCCATGCGTTCACAATGAAGCCACATACAAACCAGGAGAAACTATCAAAGATAAATGTAATACTTGGTATGTATGAATTGATGGCTGATATAAAGCTTATTGCATGTATATTGCATTAATGCGCACCTATTAACATCTAGTATGTGTTTGGCTACATAGCACATGCAAGAACCGAAAGTGGATATGCTCTAATAAACCTTGTCTGGAAACTTGCTCAGTTTATGGTGATGGTCATTATATCACCTTTGACGGCAAACGATACAGCTTCAATGGAGAATGTGAATACACACTGATCCAGGTATTAAACTTTTTCTCAAGTTTCTACTATTATAAAGTTCTATTTTCTTTAGCCTTGAGTGTTTGTGTTCATAAAAACTTAATGCCACATTTTTTTCTGCAGAATCAGTGTGGTAAAAATAAGACCAATGTAGAAGCTTTCCGAGTGATCACAGAGAATATCCCCTGTGGTTCTACAGGGACTACCTGCTCAAAAGCCATTAAGGTGTTCACTGGGGTAAGTAACTTAGCAAAAGGTAAAAACATTATGATACCTGTAGTATGAACAAAACATGCAACATGGACAAAGCAACAAAACACGTAATATGAAATCTTTATATAATAAGTGGAAATCTTGAAATAGTTTATGGTAACCAAAGAGCATTATATTTGCAAAAATATCAACCAGCCAATGCAGAACTTGCCAATAATGGAAATTTCCAGCTGAAATTATTAGAAGTAGTGGCATTGATAGGTGGTTTGTGTGGTGTGGGTGGTTTCTGTGTGGGGGTGTGTCTTTGATAAATGTTGATTCCTGGTGACTGCCTGAAAAAAAATCCTGCAGTTTTCTTGGCAAAGTTTTTAGGAAGTAGTTTGCCCTTCCCTATTTCCTAGGGATGAGAGAAAGTGATTGGCCCAAGGTCACCTCATACATAGGATGGGACTAGAACTCATGATCACCTGGTTTCTAGTCTGGTGCCTTAATAACTACATCAAACTGGCTGTCCATTGATAGATATAGGTACAAATATTTATATTGCTTGTATTTTATCTTTTAGAAGTATGAGTTAGTACTTACAGATGGAAAATTTGAGGTGATACAGAGACTTCCTGGTGGAGATGAACTGCCATTCAAGATCCGATACATGGGCAACTACATGGTGATTGAAATTTTTAACGGAGGAGTGATCGTGATATGGGATAGGAAAACCAGTGTGATCATTAAACTCAGCACAGACTTTAAGGTGAGAAAACTGAAGAGTTCTATTCATTTCTGAAGAATTGCACTGAAAAATTACTAGAGAATGAATGACACATTTATAACGTTCCCTTTCTACAGTCAATGAAGAACAATATTTAAGAGTTAAACATGCACATTTAAATATTTAGTTGGCTTATTAAATGGATCCTACTATGTTTCCACTTTACAGTCAACTTAGCTTTATTTTAGTTGATAGAACCATTGATAGTGAAAAAATTGCCATGTAAAAAGCAAAGGGCAAGACAATGTTCTGACATATTATGCAGAGCAGTAAACTTGATCATTATAAATGGCAATTCTCTGTTGACCTTGTTACAGCTAGCATTATTCTTACCTGACTTTTTGGCTTTCTAAGAGCACAGATGATTGGCTATAACATAAATATTTGCATTTCAGAAATATTGCAAATATTTTTATTCTGGTTGACTGACCCCATTTAACATTGGTATTTATATGGAAATTTTAATCATTCCTGATGAATTTTGTGAATAACGGAAGAGGTGTGTGTGTGTGTGTGTGTGTGTGTATACCTTGAATTGATTATCAACATATAACAAAAGCAATACTTGGAAATCACACTGAACTATGGTTCAGTGAAATATGAACAAGCATAGACCTGTGAACTCACATATTCCCTTCCCTAATTTTCTTGTTTCACAATTTTGGCAGCTTCCAGGTGAGTGAACTTCAACTCTCAGAATTCTCATTAATAGCCATACTGCTATGCAATTCTGGGATCTGAAATCTATAGACCTGAAAATTGCCAAGGTTTAGAAACTGAGTTCCCTATGGTTGAAAGAAATGCAAAAGCTTTCATTTCTGTTTCCAGAAGATCAAGGCAGAATACAGAGTACTCACTCCTTGCTTTTTTTTCCCCCAGTGACTATCCCCAGTGATTGGATGAGCAGAAAATAAAAGTACCACTCAGTGAGCATCCATGCCTGAATATAGGGATGAACTTGAGCTTTTCTAGATCTGGACCAGTACTTACACAGACATCACATTAGTAGACAAACTATGATTGACTTTATGATCTGGTTAATTTTGAATCAGTTTTACACCACCTCCCTTCTGAATAGGTTGGGATGAGAACTCCCAAAATCTTGCAGTTATCATGGCCAATAGCTGGAGACATCTATTTAAAGATAGTGTTTGAAAACAAATATTCTAAATCCTGATTGCTGAAGTTGGCTTAATTATTAATGTTAATCATAGTTCTGTGTCCAATCTCAGGACAAGCTCAATATAACCAAAGCTTTTGCATGAGAAAAGACCCATCCGCTCACTCTCTGAAATATAACCTTTCAGTTTTGTTAGGGATACTTGTGCTCCATTCAACTTTTCAAAGTTGGGCTATTCAGTGTATGGTACACAAGTATATGCACACATAACATTGTAGAAAATGTAATTTCATATTTTTGGATTTCTTTTCTTTTTATTTTGAGCAATGCCTGATTCCACTGAAAAGAACTGTATATTTCATGGGATAATTTATCATAGAGTAATTTATCATAGAGCAATAGATTATTTAATAATTTGAGGAACTCAAACAGCTTTTGAGGATATACATTCTCAGAGGGACAACCTTTGATGCTTTTGAAGAAAAAAAATCAATTCTTAAAACAATTTTTGGAATAAATTGGGGCATGCCTATTTCATTGCTATGAAACATAATGCTGTTCCAGGGTAAATAAAAATGTATTGGTTTCATAGATGCCTAATCATTTTTTGAATCCACATTAAGCATTCCTAGACTTGGGTTCATCTTTAACATATACAGTTTTGTGTTCAAACTATGTGTGAGAAATTCTTCGCAAAAATATACTTAAAAGTTCCCTGAGTAGCTGCATATTCCTCAGCATTAAAATGGTTAGGTCTCTAAAGGTAGAACCATCTCTCTCCAGTTTTCAATTTGTTTGTGCTTTTCTCTTGTGCAGGGTCAGGTCTGTGGCCTTTGCGGAAACTATGATGGCAATGACATCAATGATTTCACCACCAGGAGCCAGTCTGTAGTAGGAGATGTCCTGGAGTTTGGTAACAGTTGGAAAGTTTCTCCCACTTGTCCAGATGTCCCAAACAGCCGGGATCCTTGTTCTGCAAATCCCTATAGGAGTTCCTGGGCACAGAGGCAATGTAGCATCATTAACAGCAAGACATTTGCTCTCTGCCATCCTCAGGTAGGAACAGATCCATTTCAGAAGACTAAAGAAGACATTTGAATACACTTTATCCAACACAGGTAATCCTTGACTTATAAGGGTTTGTTTAGTGACAAAAGTTACAACATCACTGAAAATAAGTGACTTATGACCATTTTTCATTGGTCATTCATTGGCTTATAACCATTAGAGCACCCCATAGTCACATCATCAATAGTCGGACACTTGGCAACTGACATATATTTTGACAGTTGCTGTGTCCCAGGATCATGTGATCATTTGTAATCTTCCCAGCTTGCTTCTGACAAGCAAAGTCGATGGGAGAAGCCAGAATCACTTTAATGACTGCAGTGATTCAATTAACAACTATGGGAAGAAAGATCGTAAAAGGAGGCAAAAGTCACTTAACAACCACCTTGCTTAGCAACAGAAATGTTGGGTTCAGTTGGGTTCATAAGTCAAGGTCTACCTGTATATTAATAACATATATGCATGTAATTCCTTAGATGAAGATATAATAGCCGCAACCCAAGCAACTGTAAGGAGATGCTATCATTCTGGCTTTCCAAGGATTACAAAAATAAATAAAACCTTGTTCCAGCATTTTGTAATTCCCAGACAAGGATTCCTTTGTAACTGGAATCCTTTTTCTACCAACTCTGTACTCTCAGGCTCTGCTTATTCTTTGGCAAACCTGACATGGTAGCAGGAGGGGGCAATAAATATGGTTGCTAATAGATCTTGGTGGTATAATATGAAGTGGATATTGTACATATTGCTTTCAGAAACTTTTAGCAGTGCTTAAGCTATCCACAAGTATATCTACATTCCTTTTTAATTAATCCTAAGTGACATCTCCCCAAAGCATTTGGGAACATTAATAACTGAAACACATTTCTGAGTGCTCTCTAATATGAAGCATTAATGGTGGATCTAATCTTGCTCTAAACCTAGGCTAAATCCCCTGAATATTTTTTTCATAACCTAATCTTTAATCATTTTACATCTAAGTAGCATTACATTGCATTACTGGTGGGCTACTAAAAATATTATCTCCATTTTTGCAATGTGCAACCATTTAAATCAATAATTAAGTCAATAATTTCTACAGGAGGAAATTAGAAACAGATCCCACTATGGTTCAGCTTTGTATCCTTGATAGTAACAGGTCCAATAATTGTTGCTTGTGAACTGTTCCTTAATAGATTTATAGAATACCTTTTTGTTTCATTGCAAATTGCATCCTGATCTATTGCTAATGACAGATGATTCATAATTGTTTCATATCTACTAGTTGTATCCCAAAACTACTGCTTTCATAACTATAACAAATTGCTTTGTCCATGCAGTTGGGCATAATTCAACAAATAGTACTGTACAAATGAAAGAATACCGATCAATACTGTCAGTTCTCCAGAAGTATTTGGTTGGAAACATAAGAATGGCAACTGGGAGAAAATATCTCCCCACCCTTTACCAAACTCACCAACCCAAACTAAGGCACATACTGAATTAGGTTCATTATTTTTCTACCAGGTTGAACCAACTAAATATTACGAAGCGTGTGTATCTGATGCCTGTGCTTGTGACACTGGAGGAGACTGTGAATGCTTCTGTACAGCTGTGGCTGCATATGCACAGGCATGTCAGGAGGCTGGTGCATGCATCTCTTGGAGAACTCCATCCATCTGTCGTGAGTATATTTCCCAGGAAGGTTGAAGGTGGAAATAAGGAGTAGAACGTAGTTATAATTTGTTCATTTCTCAGGACCACACCAAACAGGATTTTTAATACTACAAAACCATCACCATTGGACTTACGTTGAGTCCTCTGAATGTATGCAAATGCTGTAATGTATTACCTTTCAGGGCTGATGGTTACATTTAGTATTTCACATCTTTACTGCAAACTTGTATCTCCATCTCAGCCCAATCCAGAAAGACAGAAATGCAGTATTTCTGTGAATATCACTGGCAATGTATTCATACTCAGGTTTTACTTGCACATGTGATTTTGTGGAAGGAGTATCTGAGTCCCTAAATATTTTGAATTACTTTAAGTTGAGATTTATTGAACCATGGTGCTACTACATGGCTAGAATGGCTATGCTCAGACATGTCCTCAAACTAAGAAAGCCTTGCTAGATTGGTAGGGAAGATATACCTATGTCATATGACTATGGTGAGATGAGAAGAGTAAATGCAAGAGAACATTTCGAAACAGAATAATAATTCTTGAACAAGTTGTAATTGTTCCAGTGTATAATGGAGTAGAATTTCCCCTGACCCCGCTATTAGATTCAAAGAATATTCAGTCCAAAGTCCTGTTTGCTATCCATGGGACAATGAGTTCGGTGAAAACTCTGACATCTCGTGAGGCTTAAGGATTACCAAAAGATTTAAGCCATTTTTAGCTTACAAATTGCATGAATGTATATCAGATTCTGTGGATGCCACTCAGCACTATATTGTTGATTACCTATCTCCCAGAAGTAACTGCCGCTGATTTTAGTTGGAGTTCCTCCAAAAACAAGCCCATATGGAACAATAGGAGATGTCCTCTCATAGTATTAGATTCAAGGGCACTTATTCTAAGATAGCAATCTTTATTTTATGATGTTATCAAGTAAGAAAATGCAATACCATTCATCATATTAAAGAATATCACAAGGAATATCTCTTGTAAAACAAACACATTTCTCTTGATCTCTTTGTTTCTTTCCAGCTTTATTCTGTGATTACTACAATAAACAAGGAGAGTGTGAATGGCATTATCAACCTTGTGGTTCTTCTTGCATGAAGACCTGTAGGAATCCACATAATTGTTCACTTGAAATATATGACTTGGAAGGTACAGTGTTTACGCATCTTATCTTTGATGTGCAACAATGAAAAAAAGCTGAAAACTGCATTAATTGTTCTAATTACTATAGTGGGAACTATTCAAGACTTGTTTAAGAAGTGAGGATATAATTTTTCCAGTAACTGTTTATACACACAGTGTTAAATTTATGAAAAATTGATTTGCTCAATTGTGAATTATTCAAGTTTAGTACTATGGATGCATGCAGTTTTGCACATGCTAACAAATAGAAAATAATACTTGGTTTGAACTTAAAAAGTTATTTCTACCCCCCCCAAAAAAAACCTCACTTTTACCTGATTTGTCTGCATAACGTTTATTTTTTTAAGCCTAATTTTGAAAAATGTTTGGAACTGTTTGCTCTTCTATCAAGCTTTGAAGATTAGATTTTGTTAAAATTCCTCACACATCTCTATTTTATTGCCTACTTTGCTTGTTTTATCTGGTGAAGAGCTTACATTAAGTTCTGTTTCTTATTGTAGGGTGCTATCCAAACTGTCCAGCCGATAAACCCTACTTTAATGAAGATGAGATGGATTGTGTCTCCCTTGATAAGTGTGGCTGCTTTGATGGCAAAGGAAACTATTATAAACCAGGAGAAAAATTGCCTTCAGAAAAGAGCTGTCAGTCATGGTAAGACTTATGCTTAAAGTGTTAGGATTATGAAGTTTGTTTGTTTGTTTGTTTATTCATCAAATTTATACAGCCGCTCATCTCACCAAAGGTGACTCTGGGTGATGCACAACAATGGATAAAGCAAGAAGTGTAAACTAGCAAATACAAATATAAAAAAAAACATTGTAATAAATATTCCAAACCCCCAAAATACAACCATAAGTAAAGGGAAGATTTTAAAAAGTGGCTTCCTTATCAGTAGAGCCATCTAGACAAATTTCCTGTTTTGTGGCAACCCCAGGTCTGGTCCCATGATCAAGTCCTAAGGGCCTCTGAGAATATCAAAAGGGTAAGGCCAGTCCAATTTGGGAAGGGAAAAATACTAATTAATCAATTGCCACAGTGGAGAAGGCACAGTAGAGAAGGCATCAAGTGTAGATCTCTAGCTGATGGTATCTGCAGTATCCCTTCTCTGCAAGATCTGATGGGGTGGGCTAATATAAGTGGAGAGAGACAGTCCTTCAGATAGCCCATCCCAAAGGGCTTTAAAGGTTAAAAGCAGCATCTTGAATTGGAACTGGGAGCAAACTGGCAACCAGCACAGCTCACAGAACAGAGCTGCAATGGGTGTTATTTTGTCAGTACACATAACTGTTCACACCACTGTATTCTGTACCAATTGAAGCATCCAGATAACTTAAAGATCTGACAGAGGCCTTACATAAAATAGCATTATGATTCATAAAACAGGAGCAAAAATTAACAGGCAACATTGTGAAATACTCTTCTGAGGATCAATTTCTTGAAAAAATGCCATATTGTTAATGCACTCTACTCTGTATTCATCTCATCCTAAGGTAGACCAAGAGCTTGCTCAAATCATTTCAAATTGACATTTATTCTTTTTCTGATACTAGCTATTTTGTTCCAGTTAGGCCACAGGATCCTCTTCCCCATTCTCTACCACCAGTCTTGTGAAGAGACACATTTTCTGAAATAATTAATAAAACTTACTTTATTAAAGGGAAATATTTTATTTAAGGGAAAAATATTTATAAATAATTTTATTATTCCCTTAATTTTATTTCAGGGGAAAATAAGAATTCCCCAAAGAAAATGGTCAATCTGTTTATAAATTCTGAATTTGCCAGGAAGCTTTTTTTTTTCAGAAATTTTGTCAGGATATTTCCATACAATGAATTGGATCTGCTTGTAATAATGTATTGGTTTCTGCATGATTCTATTCCAATTGTACATAAGTACATTTGCTTTAGCCTATTGTGCTTTTCAAAATGGTGAACAGCCTTTTAGCCTGTGCTCATTTGTTTCCTTGCAGTTATTGTTCAATGGACAGTGAAGAGGACTGCAGATATGATGAAAATGGTAAGCAGACTGTGTCGATTTGATGTGGGTTGTGATTATTTGCATCAGCCATTGTGAGAATTGAAACAACCTTAATAACCAATTGATTATTATTATTTTTTTGAATGACAGAATGCTACTGTATCTATGAAGGAAAGATAAGCAAACCTGGCGAGATCATCTATAATACAACCGATGGCATTGGAGGGTGCATCACTGCAATTTGCAGTCAAAATGGCACAATTGAGAGGAACATCTTTCCATGTCCCACAACCCCTACCAGTATACCCACTGCTACTGTCTTTGTATTTACTAACACCACTTCACCAGCAAGTACTACTTCAGGTACAAATTCTAACAGATTATCTTTTTCCTTAATAAATGAAATGAAACAAAATTAATGTTGGCCCTATTAGTATAGAAATTTTAATACATTTTAGCGTGTGTACAATATGTTACTGTCCATAACATGCAAACTCATGATGTCTGTGATAAAAAGATTCAGAAAAGTGATATATTTTCATTTTTAAAAACAAATTGATTCATTTAATCTACTTTAGTTGCAAAAACAGTTTGATGAGAATGCTGAGAATTCCTTAGAAAGTTCCTGTCATAGATTTAAGTGGAGACATAGGGGGAAAAAACCGTTATCATATATGAGCCCCTGAAGTTAGAAATAAAAATATTCAAAATATGCATAAACTTGTAAAATGGACTTTTCAGCATGCTATAGATATGAGGTGGAGGAGACTCTATAAACAGCTTACCAGTTTTGCTACTGAGAAAGGTTGTTTTATGGAGAAGAGAGTTTAGGTTGGAGATCTAATTAGGTACCCCACATTTCTACATTACAGCAACATAGTAGAATATCATGGAAAATAAACCATTTGTCCTATTGCCATGGTATCATATGAAACATTTTAACTACTAGGACTTCTGAATCATGTCCATTTTGTCTGAGACTAAGTTGAGATGATTTATTCTGCTGCTGCTGAAGCAATGCAATCCCACTCATGTTTTAAAATAAATGTTTTAATATTTACTTTTAGATATTAAAATAAAGCTTTAATTGCTTGCTGTGTATATTCTTCTATTCAATATATTAAATATGTAAAAGTGCTTCTGCTTAGCAAGTGCTGAGGGTAATGTGAAATCAAAAATACCAAGTAAGTTATCACAAAATCAAGGAATGACTCAGAAAAAAATGGCACTCTCACTTATTTGTTCTCAGACACCATGCTGAAAATTATTGCTCCTCATTGCCATTAGCAACAGGAAAGCAATGATCTTGAGTAGAATGTCCTGGAAGGGGAGCCGATTAGACTTCCTGTAACTGTTTGCCATCACAACAACCTTGCTGAAGATCACTGTTTCCTCATGGTTTTGTGAGAGCCTAAAAGAAGGATTCCCCCCCCCCCAAAGCCACTGAGAGGAAAAAGGAGGAAACTCTGTGTGTAACCACTGACCTTATTACCACACATGGTCTCTGGCCTCAAAAAACTGTTCTGAGACACATTTGTTTCAGGTTATCATTTAAATGCTCACAATTATTAAAAAAATATTCATTGGAACTGGATGAAGCATATTAATTTATCTTTCTAATATCTTTGCAGTGCCCATGACTACCTCTGTCTGTGTTCAGGAAGTGTGTCATTGGTCAGCGTGGTATGATGGGATGCAGCCTGGCTTAGGAAACAACGATGGAGATTTTGAAACTTTTGACAATCTAACAGCCAAAGGCTACCAAGTTTGCAAAAATCCAAAAGCCGTTGAATGTAGAGCAGAGAAATTCCCCAATACTCCATTAACTACACTGGACCAGAAGGTAGAATGCAGCAGAACAGTTGGATTAATTTGTCATAATATGGACCAGTATCCAGAAATCTGCCACAATTATCAAATCAAAATTCTATGCTGTAGCTTTGTACCATGTGGCAATTATACTACAGCTTCCACACCTGAAACCACCACGGTCTCTCCAGTTCAAACAACTACAGTACCAGCTACTATTTTGACAAGTACCACTGCTTTCACAAGTACAATGAAAGTAACCACTAGCATCTTAACAACAACCCCAGAAACCACTTTTTTACCTACTAGCATTACAGTCCCATCTACCACAGAGCCTGGATCTCCAACAACAGAAATAATGAGAAAAACAACGTGCATACCTATCTGCAAATGGACAGAATGGTATGATGTGCATTTTCCTACACTGGATAATGAAGGAGATTTTGAAACATATGAGATTATCAGAGCCACAGGAAAAGATATCTGTGAAAACCCAGAACATATAAAATGCAGAGCTGAGAAATTCCCTAATAAAACTATTGATGAAGTTGGCCAAAATGTCCAGTGCAACATATCATTTGGATTGGTTTGCAGAAATGAAGATCAGTCAGGAATGCTGCAAATATGTTTTAACTATCAAATTAAAGTGTATTGCTGCAACAATGAATGCTTGACCACTCCTACAGAAACTTCAACCAGGGTCACAACACCTCAAACAACTTCTACTATCATTACTACAACTTTAGGAACAACAAATCCAAATATCACAACACCACAAATTACATCTACCTCAGTTCCAGAGACAACTACAATTACGTTACATCCTGTCACTACTAAATATACAACCATACTTTCTACTACAAAACCTTCAATGACAACTACCTCTATGCAACCAAGTTCCACTGCAGCTCCTCTAACTACAACATTTCTTCCAACAAAAGGTACACTGTCAACCACATCTGAACCAACCACAGTAACAACGACAGTACCTCTTCCAACTACGACACAAACACAAATACCTACAACAATTTTAACAACAGGTATACCTTGCACTGAGGAAAAATGTGAATGGTCCCAGTGGTATGATGTAAGTTACCCAGGCAATGAACCTGATGATGGGGATTTTGAAACTTTTAAAAATATAACAGACAAAGGACATGAAATTTGTAAAGCACCCAAAAAAGTTGAATGTGAAGCATTAAAGTATCCGAATGCAACACTTGAAGAACTGAAACAAAAAGTTACATGTGATACAAAAATAGGACTCATATGTTATAATAAAGACCAAATATCACAAATTTGCTACAATTACAAGATCAGAATTCAATGCTGCAAAATTATATTTGTACCATGCCCAACAACACCAATCCCCAAAATAACTACTACATCACTGAAAACAACAAAAATTCCTACATCAGTAGTAACAACAACACAAATAGTAAATAAGACAACAGAAAAACAAATTGTTACACAATACCACACAACAAAGCTGCCATCTACAGCACCTCAGATAGTGGAAACAACAACTGTACCACCCACCACCACTTCTAGCTCCACTCTTCCAGTTTCAACCACAACTCCCTTTGGAACAACAACACGGGAAGTGATAACCACAACTGTACCTCAAACCACCTCAACAGTGATTACCAGCACCAGAATTACCCCCAAAGAAACAACTCCCGCCACCACAACTGTTATCACTCCCACTAAGCCCATAGTGACCACAACTGCTTTACCCACCACTACCCAGTTACCCACACCAACAACAACTCTCACTACGACCACACCACCAACGACCACATGTGCTCCCATCATCTGCCAGTGGTCAGAATGGTTTGATGTTGACTTTCCCACTTCTGGACCCGAAGGAGGAGACCTTGAAACCTACAGCAATATCCGAGCCGCGGGAGGCAGATTCTGTGAAAAGCCTATAAATATACGATGTCAAGCTGTAAACCACCCAGACCTAAGCATCGAACAGCTTGGTCAAGTAGTTCAGTGTGATGTCACAGTTGGACTGGAATGCCACAATGAAAAACAAACTGGAGAAGTTAAGCAATGCTTTAATTATAGGGTAAGTGTGCTTTGTTGTGAAGAAAACCCCGAATGCAAAACAACAACTGTACCACCCACCACCACTTCTAGCTCCACTCTTCCCGTTTCAACCACAACTCCCTTTGGAACAACAACACGGGAAGTGATAACCACAACTGTACCTCAAACCACCTCAACAGTGATTACCACCACCAGAACTACCCCCAAAGAAACAACTCCCGCCACCACAACTGTTATCACTCCCACTAAGCCCATAGTGACCACAACTGCTTTACCCACCACTACCCAGTTACCCACACCAACAACAACTCTCACTACGACCACACCACCAACGACCACATGTGCTCCCATCATCTGCCAGTGGTCAGAATGGTTTGATGTTGACTTTCCCACTTCTGGACCCGAAGGAGGAGACCTTGAAACCTACAGCAATATCCGAGCCGCGGGAGGCAGATTCTGTGAAAAGCCTATAAATATACGATGCCAAGCTGTAAACCACCCAGACCTAAGCATCGAACAGCTTGGTCAAGTCGTTCAGTGTGATGTCAAAGTTGGACTGATATGCTACAATAAAGAACAAACTGGGAAAGTTCAGCAATGCTTTAATTATAGGGTAAGTGTGCTTTGTTGTGAAGAAAACCCCGAATGCAAAACAACAACCGTACCACCCATCACCACTTCTAGCTCCACTCTTCCAATTTCAACCACAACTCCCTTTGGAACAACAACACGGGAAGTGATAACCACAACTGTACCTCAAACCACCTCAACAGTGATTACCACCACCAGAACTACCCCCAAAGAAACAACTCCCGCCACCACAACTGTTATCACTCCCACTAAGCCCATAGTGACCACAACTGCTTTACCCACCACTACCCAGTTACCCACACCAACAACAACTCTCACTACGACCACACCACCAACGACCACATGTGCTCCCATCATCTGCCAGTGGTCAGAATGGTTTGATGTTGACTTTCCCACTTCTGGACCCGAAGGAGGAGACCTTGAAACCTACAGCAATATCCGAGCCGCGGGAGGCAGATTCTGTGAAAAGCCTATAAATATACGATGCCAAGCTGTAAACCACCCAGACCTAAGCATCGAACAGCTTGGTCAAGTCGTTCAGTGTGATGTCACAGTTGGACTGATATGCTACAATAAAGAACAAACTGGGAAAGTTCAGCAATGCTTTAATTATAGGGTAAGTGTGCTTTGTTGTGAAGAAAACCCCGAATGCAAAACAACAACCGTACCACCCACCACCACCTCTAGCTCCACTCTTCCCGTTTCAACCACAACTCCCTTTGGAACAACAACACGGGAAGTGATAACCACAACTGTACCTCAAACCACCTCAACAGTGATTACCAGCACCAGAACTACCCCCAAAGAAACAACTCCCGCCACCACAATTGTTATCACTCCCACTAAGCCCATAGTGACCACAACTGCTTTACCCACCACTACCCAGTTACCCACACCAACAACAACTCTCACTACGACAACCCCACCAACGACCACATGTGCTCCCGTCACCTGCCAGTGGTCAGAATGGTTTGATGTTGACTTTCCCACTTCTGGACCCGAAGGAGGAGACCTTGAAACCTACAGCAATATCCGAGCCACGGGAGGCAGATTCTGTGAAAAGCCTATAAATATACGATGTCAAGCTGTAAACCACCCAGACCTAAGCATCGAACAGCTTGGTCAAGTCGTTCAGTGTGATGTCACAGTTGGACTGATATGCTACAATAAAGAACAAACTGGGAAAGTTCAGCAATGCTTTAATTATAGGGTAAGTGTGCTTTGTTGTGAAGAAAACCCCGAATGCAAAACAACAACCGTACCACCCACCACCACCTCTAGTTCCACTCTTCCCGTTTCAACCACAACTCCCTTTGGAACAACAACACGGGAAGTGATAACCACAAGTGTACCTCAAACCACCTCAACAGTGATTACCACCACCAGAACTACCCCCAAAGAAACAACTCCCGCCACCACAACTGTTATCACTCCCACTAAGCCCATAGTGACCACAACTGCTTTACCCACCACTACCCAGTTACCCACACCAACAACAACTCTCACTACGACAACCCCACCAACGACCACATGTGCTCCCGTCACCTGCCAGTGGTCAGAATGGTTTGATGTTGACTTTCCCACTTCTGGACCCGAAGGAGGAGACCTTGAAACCTACAGCAATATCCGAGCCGCGGGAGGCAGATTCTGTGAAAAGCCTATAAATATACGATGTCAAGCTGTAAACCACCCAGACCTAAGCATCGAACAGCTTGGTCAAGTCGTTCAGTGTGATGTCACAGTTGGACTGATATGCTACAATAAAGAACAAACTGGGAAAGTTCAGCAATGCTTTAATTATAGGGTAAGTGTGCTTTGTTGTGAAGAAAACCCCGAATGCAAAACAACAACCGTACCACCCACCACCACCTCTAGCTCCACTCTTCCCGTTTCAACCACAACTCCCTTTGGAACAACAACACGGGAAGTGATAACCACAACTGTACCTCAAACCACCTCAACAGTGATTACCAGCACCAGAACTACCCCCAAAGAAACAACTCCCGCCACCACAACTGTTATCACTCCCACTAAGCCCATAGTGACCACAACTGCTTTACCCACCACTACCCAGTTACCCACACCAACAACAACTCTCACTACGACAACCCCACCAACGACCACATGTGCTCCCGTCACCTGCCAGTGGTCAGAATGGTTTGATGTTGACTTTCCCACTTCTGGACCCGAAGGAGGAGACCTTGAAACCTACAGCAATATCCGAGCCACGGGAGGCAGATTCTGTGAAAAGCCTATAAATATACGATGTCAAGCTGTAAACCACCCAGACCTAAGCATCGAACAGCTTGGTCAAGTCGTTCAGTGTGATGTCACAGTTGGACTGATATGCTACAATAAAGAACAAACTGGGAAAGTTCAGCAATGCTTTAATTATAGGGTAAGTGTGCTTTGTTGTGAAGAAAACCCCGAATGCAAAACAACAACCGTACCACCCACCACCACCTCTAGCTCCACTCTTCCCGTTTCAACCACAACTCCCTTTGGAACAACAACACGGGAAGTGATAACCACAACTGTACCTCAAACCACCTCAACAGTGATTACCACCACCAGAACTACCCCCAAAGAAACAACTCCCGCCACCACAACTGTTATCACTCCCACTAAGCCCATAGTGACCACAACTGCTTTACCCACCACTACCCAGTTACCCACACCAACAACAACTCTCACTACGACAACCCCACCAACGACCACATGTGCTCCCGTCACCTGCCAGTGGTCAGAATGGTTTGATGTTGACTTTCCCACTTCTGGACCCGAAGGAGGAGACCTTGAAACCTACAGCAATATCCGAGCCGCGGGAGGCAGATTCTGTGAAAAGCCTATAAATATACGATGTCAAGCTGTAAACCACCCAGACCTAAGCATCGAACAGCTTGGTCAAGTCGTTCAGTGTGATGTCACAGTTGGACTGATATGCTACAATAAAGAACAAACTGGGAAAGTTCAGCAATGCTTTAATTATAGGGTAAGTGTGCTTTGTTGTGAAGAAAACCCCGAATGCAAAACAACAACCGTACCACCCACCACCACCTCTAGCTCCACTCTTCCCGTTTCAACCACAACTCCCTTTGGAACAACAACACGGGAAGTGATAACCACAACTGTACCTCAAACCACCTCAACAGTGATTACCACCACCAGAACTACCCCCAAAGAAACAACTCCCGCCACCACAACTGTTATCACTCCCACTAAGCCCATAGTGACCACAACTGCTTTACCCACCACTACCCAGTTACCCACACCAACAACAACTCTCACTACGACAACCCCACCAACGACCACATGTGCTCCCGTCACCTGCCAGTGGTCAGAATGGTTTGATGTTGACTTTCCCACTTCTGGACCCGAAGGAGGAGACCTTGAAACCTACAGCAATATCCGAGCCGCGGGAGGCAGATTCTGTGAAAAGCCTATAAATATACGATGTCAAGCTGTAAACCACCCAGACCTAAGCATCGAACAGCTTGGTCAAGTCGTTCAGTGTGATGTCACAGTTGGACTGATATGCTACAATAAAGAACAAACTGGGAAAGTTCAGCAATGCTTTAATTATAGGGTAAGTGTGCTTTGTTGTGAAGAAAACCCCGAATGCAAAACAACAACCGTACCACCCACCACCACCTCTAGCTCCACTCTTCCCGTTTCAACCACAACTCCCTTTGGAACAACAACACGGGAAGTGATAACCACAACTGTACCTCAAACCACCTCAACAGTGATTACCACCACCAGAACTACCCCCAAAGAAACAACTCCCGCCACCACAACTGTTATCACTCCCACTAAGCCCATAGTGACCACAACTGCTTTACCCACCACTACCCAGTTACCCACACCAACAACAACTCTCACTACGACAACCCCACCAACGACCACATGTGCTCCCGTCACCTGCCAGTGGTCAGAATGGTTTGATGTTGACTTTCCCACTTCTGGACCCGAAGGAGGAGACCTTGAAACCTACAGCAATATCCGAGCCGCGGGAGGCAGATTCTGTGAAAAGCCTATAAATATACGATGTCAAGCTGTAAACCACCCAGACCTAAGCATCGAACAGCTTGGTCAAGTCGTTCAGTGTGATGTCACAGTTGGACTGATATGCTACAATAAAGAACAAACTGGGAAAGTTCAGCAATGCTTTAATTATAGGGTAAGTGTGCTTTGTTGTGAAGAAAACCCCGAATGCAAAACAACAACCGTACCACCCACCACCACCTCTAGCTCCACTCTTCCCGTTTCAACCACAACTCCCTTTGGAACAACAACACGGGAAGTGATAACCACAACTGTACCTCAAACCACCTCAACAGTGATTACCACCACCAGAACTACCCCCAAAGAAACAACTCCCGCCACCACAACTGTTATCACTCCCACTAAGCCCATAGTGACCACAACTGCTTTACCCACCACTACCCAGTTACCCACACCAACAACAACTCTCACTACGACAACCCCACCAACGACCACATGTGCTCCCGTCACCTGCCAGTGGTCAGAATGGTTTGATGTTGACTTTCCCACTTCTGGACCCGAAGGAGGAGACCTTGAAACCTACAGCAATATCCGAGCCGCGGGAGGCAGATTCTGTGAAAAGCCTATAAATATACGATGTCAAGCTGTAAACCACCCAGACCTAAGCATCGAACAGCTTGGTCAAGTCGTTCAGTGTGATGTCACAGTTGGACTGATATGCTACAATAAAGAACAAACTGGGAAAGTTCAGCAATGCTTTAATTATAGGGTAAGTGTGCTTTGTTGTGAAGAAAACCCCGAATGCAAAACAACAACCGTACCACCCACCACCACCTCTAGCTCCACTCTTCCCGTTTCAACCACAACTCCCTTTGGAACAACAACACGGGAAGTGATAACCACAACTGTACCTCAAACCACCTCAACAGTGATTACCACCACCAGAACTACCCCCAAAGAAACAACTCCCGCCACTACAACTGTTATCACTCCCACTAAGCCCATAGTGACCACAACTGCTTTACCCACCACTACCCAGTTACCCACACCAACAACAACTCTCACTACGACCACACCACCAATGACCACATGTGCTCCCATCATCTGCCAGTGGTCAGAATGGTTTGATGTTGACTTTCCCACTTCTGGACCCGAAGGAGGAGACCTTGAAACCTACAGCAATATCCGAGCCGCGGGAGGCAGATTCTGTGAAAAGCCTATAAATATACGATGTCAAGCTGTAAACCACCCAGACCTAAGCATCGAACAGCTTGGTCAAGTCGTTCAGTGTGATGTCACAGTTGGACTGGAATGCCACAATAAAAAACAAACTGGGAAAGTTAAACAATGCTTTAATTATAGGGTAAGTGTGCTTTGTTGTGAAGAAAACCCTGAATGCAAAAGAACAACCGTACCACCCACCACCACTTCTAGCTCTACTCTTCCAGTTTCAACCACAACTCCCTTTGGAACCATGACACAGGAAGTGATAACCACAACTGTAGCTCAAACCACCTCGAGTAGTACATCTTCAACCACCACCGTTGGAAGCAGCACAAGTTATTGCTTTTGCCAAATTGGCGAAAAGGTTTATATGCCTGGTAAGTGTTTATTATAAACTGTTATGTTTTTGTCTGCTCCATTTTTGAATTTTGTGTATTTATTTGCTTATTTAAATTTATAGCCAGCCATCTTGGGTAATAGCTCTGGGTCGCTTACAATTCAAAAATGTTATTACAGTAAAAATACTAAGACCTATTTCATAAAATAATAAAGATATCTAAATTAAATACACATAATAGCTAGTTAAATGTCCTTTTATTATTATAGTGGGGAAATTAAGACTTTGAGACATTTAGCACCCCAGGTATTGAAACAATGACTGATTTCTAGGGTCTAGCAAAAGGCTAACAGAGTTGGGCCATTTCAATAGGTGGAGGGAATATGTTCCATAGAGCATGGATCACTGTGGAAAAAGCTAATTTTCCCTTTTTATGGCCTCTGTTATCTCCATCGTTGATATTTTTCCATTTAATATGTTTTGAATATTTTGTGGAATTTTTGGTAGATCTGCTTTTTTTAAGTACTGATGTATTTTTTTGTTTTGAAGTTTCCTCTATATATCATAAAGTGTCTCATAAAAATCTTTGATGGTTTTTTAAACTGTGCCATTTTCAAACTGTAATTCACCTTTTGAGTCTTGCAACTTGTTCATCAGTTTTTTCTTTTTCTTTTTTCAATTTATATGCTAACCATCTCTCCCTGGTTTATTGGCATTTTCAAAGAAGTTCTGTTTAGCCCTTTTAATTTGTTGAGCCATTGTTTCCGCCTCTACTAGGTTTAATTAATGTTTTATTATTTCCATTTGCTTTTTAAGTTTTTTCTTTTGTGGGTTTATTTGTAGTTCTAATTGTAATTTCCTAAATTCTTCCTTCAACTTTAACTGTTGTTATTTTCTTTCTTTGTTCTTTTTAGCAATATAGGTTATAGCCAGCCCTCTAAAATATGCTTTAGCTATATCCCACACATTTTGAAGATATATCTGTTCTTTGTTATTTATTTTTTGGGGGGGAAGTCCATTTCCTTTGTCACCAGTTGTATAAATTATTTTTCTTTCAATATAGATTTGTTCAGGGACCATCTTAGTTTTTTCTTGGCTCCTCTCCAAGTCACCTTTATTGGATTATGATTTGCCCAGATATTAGTTTCTATCTCTATTTCTTGTATCATCATGCTAAGTTTAGAGGATATCCATATTATATCAATTCTAGACCATTATTTGTGTCTATTTGAATAAAATCTATATTGCAATTTTTTTGGATTTTTCTCTTCATATGTCTTGAATACAAATTTCTTCTGCCATTTTAGAAAAGGCTTTAGGTAATATATTTCTTCCTTTCTTCCCTATTTTAGTGCTTTTATAGTCCGAAGTTCCATTTGCTATTGCATTAAAGTTTCCCATTATACAAAAATTTTGATATTCCAATTCTAATATTTTTAATGTAATTTTTGATAAAAATTCTTCTTATTTATCATTTGGTGCATATATTGCTACCATCAGTATCTGTTTTTGGTTCATCATTATTTCCATCATTACTATTCTTCTCTCTTAATCCGCATAAATTTGTTTATAGTTCATTGTTTCTTTAATATATAGAGCTATTCCTCTTTTCTTTTGTTGTGCTAATGCAAAATGGAGTTTGCCAATTTTCGATTGTTCTAACAGTTTATAGTGTTGTCTCTTAATATGTGTTTGGAGGAAAATTATATCTATTTTTAATTTTTGTAGTCGTGTAAAAAATTTTTTGGGGGAGGAGGAGTTCAGTCCATTTATATTCATTGAAAGGATCCCATTTCCCTTCTCCATCTCTTTCAATTATATTTAGGTCTTAATGTTCTAGTCGATCTTATCTGTCTCTGTTTTCTTGGTCTTGCCCCTTCTTCTGTATTTGTATTTTTAGTTTCGTCTTCTTCTCTTGGCTGCTCCTTCTGTTACCATCTCTTCCTGTCTCTTTGTTTCTCTTGCTGTACCAGATTCAAAGTCACCCCCTTCCATGAATGCTTTATAGTTGTCATAGAATCCATTGCTTTAAGTGGCCTGTCCAGTCTGTATCTTTTCGTATCCCAATAAATTAAAATCCCTTCTGGGATCAGCCATCTAAAGTTCACTCCTTTTTCAATTAATTTTCTGGTTAAAAATTGATATTCTCTTTGGGATCTCTTATTCTCCTAGGGATCTGTTTGAAAACTACAATTTCTTTTCTATATTTCAAAGGGTCATCTCTCACTCTTCTCAGTATCTCATCTCTTATGGATCTTTTAAGAAATCTAACATGTACTTCTCTAGGAACCTTATTTCTTCTCGCATAATTTGAGTTAACTCAGTATATCTGATCTAATTCTCCTTCCATTTCCTGTTTCCCGATTTCTAATGCATCAGCCAGTAATTCCGTTATCATGTCTACAAAGTCCTCTTCCTTGTCTTCCATTATGTTTTGAAATCTTAAGAAGTAAGAAGCCTTTTCCATTTCCATGACTGCTATTGAGTCCTCTAATTCTCCATTTATTTGCATCAGTTTCTGATTTTCATTTTTTAATTCTTCTAATTTTGGGTCAACCTCTATTGATTTAATCTTCTATTTTTTGAATCCTTTGTTCATTTTTTGTGACCATCTATTTAAAATTTTCAAATTGAGAGTCCATATTATTAATTTTTTGGCTCATTTTATCAAGGTCATTTTTCGTCTCTTCATGGTTTTTCGTTGTAGCTACCATATGGGTGGCAATTGCCTCTTGGATTGCTTGTAGTGTCACTTGTGACTCTTTCTGGAAGTTGTTAGTCTTTTCTTGTTGAAGCATTGTATCAATTGATCTCTGATAGACTGGACTTGCAGAAGCAGAGGAAGGGGCAGAGGGTACTTTTTTGCCAGCTTTAGTTAAATTCGGGACACTCATTTTGTTCCTCGTCCTCAAATATTTTAATCATACTTTATAATCCACCGAGTAGTTCAAAATTGATAGTCTTTTTTCAATTTGAAATTAAAAATTTGTAATCCAATAAGCTCCAAACAAATAGGAGAGGTAAAAAGAATCACTCTGTCTCAAAACAGCTTGTAAGATTCCAAGTCAAGCTGCATTTATAATCCAAGGAAGTCAGATGACTTCAAAGCAATTTGTACTTTTAATTATAATCCATCCTGTAGAAAAAAGCAACCCAAAAAGATTCTTCTCTTTTTTTATCCACAATCTCCAGAACTGTAGATTTCAGGGACATCAAAGGGTTTAGTCCAGTGATGGTGAACCTTTTAGAGACTGAGTGCCCAAAAACTGGCCCTGCCCCTGCTCCACCCCCTGCCCGCCCCCACCCCGCCTGCCCACAGGGCCACTCACCACCTCCAGGGCCTGCTGCAGATTGCCCAGGCAGCCTAGCAGCACCATTGCGGCCATGCTCTCTGCCCGCACCCCGCAGCATCAACTGTGCGTGATGAGATGTGAGGGCAGAGTCTTGTCTACACTGCCTGGTTGCCATGTCCTTGGCTGTGCTGCTCTGTGTGGGCCATGCTCGGGGGTGACTCTCCTCCAGGGGAGCTGCTGATGAGGAGGGGTCAAGGGAGGAGGCAAGTCTGGGGCAACGGCATGTGTACCCATAGAGAGGGCTCCAAGTGCCGCCTCTGGCACACGTGCCATAGTTTCACCACCACTGGTTTAGTGTGTAAACTGTGTCTTGGCGTCTATCCAAGTTCTGACACTCCAGCCACAATATCTAGATAAGGTTAGCAAGCTAGGCTAAGTGTAGTTCTTAGTTTTGCCACTAGATGTCATTAGATGTCCATTTTGTATTTTTCCAACAGAACTTTACAAAGTTTACAAAGTTATAGTTCGATACTTTCCAATAAAAAAGTGAAAAGTTTATGAATATTAAAGCTCCCCGAAGTATTCTTCTTTTGTCCCACTCAATTATCTCCACAATAGTGTTGTAAGTTACTTTATTTTGCCCCAGGGGCTTAAACCACCACTTCTATTCAGGAGGGAGAAGTAAAAAAAAAAAAATCCCCCCCTTCCTTTAGCTTTGGGGATTTCTTGCTTTCGGGGACTTTTTCCCAGAACAGGTTTTTCAGTTGTAGAAAGATAAGGAAGATAATCTCACCCAGATCCGCTGCTTTGCTATTGCTTGGTTGTAATCGTTTTTCCCAGCGGTCAGCAGCTTCTGGCTGGCAGCATGGGTACAGTCAGCCTTTCTTCCTGCCGGTCCAGAGGCTTCCTTGGATTTTTCTGGTCTTCACCATCCAACACTCTTTGACTGACAAGATGTGCAGCATTCATACCCGTTCTGCATTTCTCCTTTTTGATTTGTGTGGAAGACTTTTCTCTATCACTGTGTTTGTTATTTATGCACTTACTTGATAGTTTTCTCAAATCTTACTGAAATGTTTTTTTTTTCAGGTGAAATTATTTATAGGCAAACCGACAGCGATGGCTGCCTTTATTTTGCCATTTGTGGTAGAACATGTTCCGTTGAAAGATACAAAGGGCCATGTGTATCAACTACACCCAGACCCACATCAACTCCCACAATAGTCTCCACCACTCCTACTACGAAAACTGCTGGTACTACTCCACCATCAGGCTGTCCTGATGCTATTCCACCACGGAAGGTAGGGTGTTGGTTTATTTTTTTGGTAATTTTTGATCATCATGTTTTCAGTGTAATGTGTTTTCCAGGGATATTTGGGTGTTTTTAGCCAGGGAAGAAGAAATTAATCTTTTTCCATTCCAAATGTGATTATTGGAGATTTATGTTGCACATGGCACTAACCCGATCTGGAATCTCAGAATCCCTCTTTTCCTTCATAAATCTCTAATCATAAGTATGCTATAAAGGCAAAGCATTACGAGGAATTATGTGAAACAAACATGAACTGATTCAAATTAAAATTTCTGAACAGAAAGCAAGTGAAATCTCATTTTTTAAAAAAAGTTGCTATTACCTGGAAGGGTGTTTGTTTATCACATTTTAGAACCACCTATCTGCCTCACAGTACACCATTTTGCTGATACTAAGGAATTTTGTATAGCAAAATGTATTGTATTAAAATATAATTGCTTGCAAAATATATGTTTCATGAAGATTACATACAGAAAAGCTAATTTGGATAAAGTAAACATACCAATTGCTACCATACATACATACATATGTACCTACGTGTACACACACACACACACACACACACACACACACACACACACACACATATGGTCTTTGGTTATTCGGGTTTTCTCCCAAGTAAAATTGGAAGTGTCTTGGCGACGTTTCGACGAAGTCTCATTCGTCATCTTCAGGCTGGTGCTTTCGGCTTCGTGCTTCTAGGAGCAATGTGTGATTGTAGCTGTTTCCTCCTTTTAACTGCCAGTGGGGGTATGAACTGATTGGATGAGAGCTTGGCTCTGTTCTGATTGGATGGGGGAGTGTTCTGTTTGGGTGGGGGCTTTGTTGTGATCAGGTTAGTCTGAGTTGCAGGGGGATTTAAAATGGTGAGCTGCATTGCTATTTTTTGGCTTTGTGTTCATGGTCGTGCCTCATCTTCATGGTGGGTGTCAGTTTGCTTCATGTATGGATTGGAGGGGTTTAAAGTGGCTAATGATGCAGCTGTGGTCTGGCTTCTGGTTTGTGGTCGTGCCTTATCATCGGTGTGGCTTTGGGTTTGCTTTTTGCGTGGATGTGTGGTGGTGACATCCTGTGTGGTTTTTTTGAGTGTGGGTCTGGTGTCATTTTTTGTGTTAGGGAGTCGTTTGTCAATAAGGGCGGGTTTCCAAATGGCTGGTAGGCGGAAGGTATCATTTCGTTTGTTCATGCTGTGTGGGCATTTTTCTATCTCAATGGCTTCTCTGATTATTCTGTTATTAAAATGTTCAGTTTGGGCGATAGGTCTGGTCTTTTTAAAGTCAATTTCATGTCCTGTGATTTTAAGGTGTTGGACCAGGGAAGAAGTTGGTTCCTCTTTTTTGACTGAGTTCTTATGTTCTTCAATGCGTGCACTTATTCTTCTGTTGGTTTGTCCGATGTATGTGGTGGGACAAGTGGTGCATGGGATTTCGTATACTCCTTGATTTTCTAATTCAATTTTATCTTTGGGGTTTCTTAGGATGGTGGATATTTTTCTGTTTGGGCAGAATGCTGTCTTAATGTTGTGTTTGTGGAGGATCTTACTGATTCTGTCTGTGGTGCCTTTTATGTAAGGGAGGAGGGCTTTGCCGTTTTCTTGTTCTCTGTCTTGGGTTTTAGTGGGGGTTTCTTTTTGGATTAGTTTGGTAATCTTATTTCGTTGGAATCCATTGGATGTAAGTACATTAGTGAGAGTGTGTAGTTCAGTTTTTAGGTGTTGTTCATCAGCTAAGCGTTTTGTTCTAGAGATGAGTGTCTTGGCTACAGAGTTGATCTGTGCTGGGTGGTGGTGTGAGAGAGCATGCAGATAGCGGTTTGTGTGTGTTTTCTTCTGGTAGATGGTGTGTCCTAGGGAGCCATTGGATTTCTTGTAGACTAAGACATCCAGGAAGGGAAGTTGGTTGTTAGCTTCTGTTTCCATGGTGAACTGTATTTTGGGGTGTAGGCTGTTGAGGTGTGTGAGGAAGTTGTCCAGTTTTTCTTTCCCATGTGGCCAGATTATGAAGGTGTCGTCTACGTATCTGAGCCAGAGTTTGGGTTTGTGATCCGATTTTTCTAGAGCTTGGGTTTCAAAGTGTTCCATGTAGAGGTTGGCAATGACAGGTGAGAGGGGTGATCCCATGGGTGCTCCTTCTATTTGTTTGTATTTTTGTCCGTTATAGATGAAGTATGTATTGGATAGACAATGGTTGGTCAGATCTAGGATGTGTTTTGGGGGTTATATTTGTTTTGGATAGCTGTCAAGGCTTCTTTGATTGGCACTTGGGTGAACAGGGATATGACATCGAAGCTCATGAGTAGGTCGCTGGGCTGTAAGTTTTGTTTCTTTATGATCTCTAAGAAATGTAATGAATTTTTTACGTGTGAGGTGATGGATTCTGCATAGGGCTGTAGTTGTTTGGCGAGAAGTTGGTTCCTCTTTTTTGACTGAGTTCTTATGTTCTTCAATGCGTGCACTTATTCTTCTGTTGGTTTGTCCAATGTATGTGGTGGGACAAGCGGTGCATGGGATATCATATACTCCTCAATTTTCTAACTCAATTTTCTCTTTGGGGTTTCTTAGGATGGTGGATATTTTTCTGTTTGTGCAGAATGCTGTCTTGATGTTGTGTTTGTTGAGGATTTTGCTGATTCTGTCTGTGGTGCCTTTTATGTATGGGAGGAGGGCTTTGCTTCTTCCCTGGTCAAACACCTTAAAGCCACAGGACATGAAATTGACTTTAAAAAGACCAGAACTATCGCCAAAATGGAACACTTTAATAACAGAATAATCAGAGAAGCCATCAAGATAGAAAAATGCCCAGGACAGCATGAATAAATGAGATGATACCTCCTGCCTACCAGCCATTTGGAAACCCGCCCTCATTGACAAACGAGTCCCTCTATTCTCAAAAAAAGGACTAAGCAGCTTTGGATATACAATACCTTATTATTCTGAGGAAAGAGTCACTTTCAGGATGGGGGAATTGAGGAGTCACATCATCTGAACACTATTGCTAACTAATCATTTTATTTGATGTGATAAAAACTGATATAAATCAAGAAACAAAGGAAATTTATGCTTGATATAGGGATAATTTTGCAATTAAGTACAGGTAGTCCTTGCTTACTGGCCACTTGTTCAAAGGCCATTCAAAGTTACAACAGCACTGATAAGGAGACTTTTGACTGGGCCTCAAATTATTACAGTCATGTGATTGCAATTTGGGTACTTGGAAACTGTGGATGGGGTTCAATTAAGCTTGTATATTATATATCTTATTTTAAAAACTATTTCAATGTGATGCTTACAGGCACCAAACTAGAAACTGGGAGAGTATGAATTCTAATCCTGCCTTAAACACAAAGCCACCTGGGCTTTGTGACTGGACCAGCTCTCTCTCTTAGCTCTATAAAGGAGCCAGGAGTAAAACACTTCCCCCAAAAAATCTAGCCAAAAAAATTGCAGGCATTAGTCCAGGCAGTCACGAGGAGTCAGGACTGACTTGGCACAATACACAGTATTGTATTTTATAGGCAGTAACTTTTAATTAATATTTATTACTTAATTTAAAAGAAATCCTGGCACTAGGTCCCCTTTTTCTGGGGTGATGGTGGTGGGGTGCGAAGAATTTATGCTTACTTGGGGGGGGGAAGAGTTTTCCAGCTAGAATTGGCAACCCAACATTGACAAAGGAGGGTAGAAGGGCATCATATGGAATTTTTATCTATCTATCTATCTATCTATCTATCTATCTATCTATCTATCTATCTATCTATCTATCTATCTATCCCTCCTGTCTACTCTTCTTTTTGGAATGGGATCATCTTAAAACCAGGTTTGTCATTATTTGGGGTTTACTTTGCCTGGTGAGTTTGGTTCCTATTTCATATTTATTAACCTGATCAGGAGATAGAAATGTTTTAAAAGATCTGAACTTTGGATGCTGAGGTAAAACTTTACAAATGTCAAATTCCAGACATTCCACTTAAGAACAGAAAGGTTACACAACTCAGAGAGCTGCAAATAATGCTTTGAACTGATGCAGAATTAGCGTTTAATGGGAAGTAGGATATTATAAATAAACTTTGTACATAATGTCAAATTATCTATATCTGGCACTTACTTAAACAGAATGTCATCAGATGGGCAAATATTTTTCCAAGAAGTGTCTCCTCCCTAACAAGCTTGTTTAAAGAAAGGAAAGTAAGGATCCTGACATCAAGACTTTTTCTGAATTAAGTTACAAAATATAGGAACCGAAAGTCAAATCTGAGTTAAACAGGACAAAAATGATCTCTTCCCTCTTTATTATCCATGAAGCATAATTTAATGTATGAAATTCATTTATTTATTTATTTATGAGACTTATATACCACTTTAAGTGCAAGCACTCTCTAAGCGGTGTACACCAGTAAGCAATGTATATATATATTTACATTGCCTCCAACAATCTGGGTCCTCATTTTACCTACCCCAGAAGGATGGAAGGCTGAGTCAACCTTGAGCCAGTGAGATTTGAACCGCTGACCTGCTGAACACAGTCAGCTAATGTGGCCTGCAGTACTGCACTCTAACTGCTGCGCCACCTCGGCTCATTTATGAATATATGAATACATGCATAGAGGTTTGTTGGGTCAAACTGTAAACAATTTTTTTTCTATTCCCAGGTGGGTGAGACATGGATAGAAAATTGCACAAAAGCAACTTGTTTAGGAAACAACAACATTGTGATAAGTAAAGTGGAGTGTCCACCAGTACAGAATATTGTGTGTGAAAACGGCTACCCACCAGTAAAAGTTCTCTCAAAGGATGGATGCTGTTATCACTATGAATGTGAATGTAAGTTCAAATGTTATTTCTGAATGGTTTTGTGGTAATAATGTGGTTTGATCAGCTTTTGATAGTATATGAGTTATTTCGCTGATATTAATCTCTGGGTACAGCATTTTTTAAAGTCCTAATTGTTGCCTGTTTTTCCTCTAATTTATCAGGTATTTGCACTGGCTGGGGTGATCCTCACTTTATTACATTTGATGGAGTCTACTACACTTTCTTGGACAAATGCACTTATGTATTGGTGCAGCAAATTATACCAAACTATAATAATTTTAAAATCCTTCTTGATAATTATTATTGTGATACAGAAGATCAACTTTCCTGTTCCCAGTCTATTATTATACACTACAAATCTTCAGTCATTGTGTTAACTCGCCAACACTTGAATGGGATAGAAGCTAACAAGGTAAAATTTGAAACTGAGATCCAGTGCCATTCACATGTAGAACAATAATCTTCACTCTTCCCTCAAAATTCTCTAAACAAATCTGGAACATGTGTCAGGTATTTCAGGGAGGTAAGAACTTCTCCTGTGCAAATGGAAATATTCTCACATAAGGCCACAAGTATCACCATGTAAAATGTTTCAAGTATCTTTAGTATTATGCAACCCTAGGCTTGCTTATTCAGAAATAAGTCCTTTGAGTTCAAAATATTTTTTTCTGAATAAGGAAGTGCAATGTAGGTAGTCCTCAATTTACAGCATTTAGTGATCATTCATTTAGTGACCATTCAAAGTTACAACAGTTCTGAAAAACGTGACTTATTACTGTTTTTCACAGTTACGACCTTTGCAGCTTCCCAACGATCATGTGATCAAAATTCAGATGGTTGGCAGCTGGTTCACATTTATGACCATTGCTATGTACCAAGGTCATGTGATCACCTTTTGCAACCTTCTGACAAGCAAAGTCAATGAGGAAGCCAGATTCACTTAATAACTAGCTAGCTTATCAGCTGCAATGATTCACTTAACAATTGAGGCAAGAAAGGTTGTAAAATGGAGCAAAACTCACTTAACAAATGTTTTACTTAACAACATAAATTTGGGGCCCAAGTGTGATCGTAAGTACCTGTATTCTCATGTATTAATGTCTAGAAAATAGTGAGATTTGTTGAAACTATTAGCTATTAGCCATCAATTAATGAAGTTAAAGATACAGTATGTTTATCTAGAGATCTGAGTGGAGATGCACAGAACCTATATTTTTGGAAAATCGGTGGAGGTATTCTTGGGTGCTTATGGGGAGGGCAAGTCATGACATGTGTTATGTCATTATAGTGTAACCCAGATCACAGACCATATCATATTCTTCATTCTTTCATGGGAGCATCTGCCAGATAGCTGGTATCTGGCAGAGAGGAGAGGTAGAAAAGCTACCATTCATCTGTAGTAGAGATCAGATTGAAATCAATTTATCGAACAGTGAAGAACACTGAAGAATTTAGTATGGTTACTTTTATGAATCATGAAAGAGGATATAGTAGTAGTAGCAATAGTAGTAGTAGCAGTAGGAAGAGGAGGAGGAGGAGGAGGAGGAGGAGGAGGAGGAGGAGGAGGAGGAGGAGGAGGAGGAGGAGGAGGAGAAAGAGATGGCACACGAAATGTATGTAAAGGCTGAGACACACCAAATTGTAAACATGCGTAGATGGATTCATCTTAAGTCTATCCATAACATGTATGTATGTATAACAATCTCAAAACGATAGCATGCAGGTAGAAGAAATAATTGATATTTCTTAAATTGAATACCTAATTATTGGCTATAAGAAATATAGCCATGTAAAGTTAGTTTTGCATAAAAGTGCACAAAGCATTCCTATACATAATAATTATGGTATATTATAAAAATTTAAGAATTATGTACTATTTATTTGGTTTGCTTAGAGGTGCAAAGATACAAAAAAATTAAGGTCAATCAAACTCTTAAAGCAGGATCAGATTCACAGTGATCCCTGGAAAAAAAGAGGATCTGTTTTAGTGAAGCATCTCACCTCATCTGAAGCACCTCTTAGTATAAGTCACAAGCGTAACTAGATCCATATGGCCTTTCCTAGCAGATGTATGTCTTACATCCTTGGAAAGCCACCTCAGTAGAGGGAGCCAGCCTCCATAAGATTTTCTAAGGTTACATGCACATTAAGGTCAAGTAATTTTATTTTTAAATGCATATTTCTTAATTAATAAATGGAATAATCCCTCCCAAATGTGTAGATAATTATTTTTAACATGCGGGTGCATTACTTTTTTAAAAGTATGGGTAATCAATTTTTTTTCTATACAAAATTGCTCTTTGATGCAAAATTATTCTTCTGTGCAGATTTATTTCAATGGGAAAGTCATCAAGGCAAGTTTCCATAAAGATGATATTTATATCTACACAATTGGCATTAATATGGTGGTTGAAATGGCTGAAATTGAAACTATTGTCACCTATAGTGGTGTAGTCTTCTCAGTAAAGCTTCCATTCAGCAAGTTTAACAACAATACTGAAGGACAATGTGGTAAGAAAAATGTTTTAATCCTACCAAAGCTTTTCTTATTCCATGAAATATTTGCAAATTCTTATGCATTTAAAGTAGTTGAAACAATACTTTATATATTTGCTCTTAGAAAAATGCTTGTTTCTCTGGTAAACTCTTGACTCTCTTGTCAAAAGTCACTTATTGTTCATTCAACCTGGATATTAGAACTTCTAATTACTGATGTAAATAAAAATGGAAAAATACATTATTTATCTCAAAAGAAATGATATTTTTTTCCAGGAGTATTCAGTAACATAGTCTAGAACAGTGATGGCAAACCTTTTAGAGATTGAGTGCCCAAACTGCAACCCAAAACCCACTTATGTATCGTCTGGTGCCGGATGGGTGTGGCCCATTGGGTGGGTGTGGCTGCAGTGGTAATGCCAGACTGGGTGGGACTAAAAAGTTCAATCAATCAATTCCAACTTTGCGAGATCTTTTTTTTTCCTGCAAGAAGTTCAAATTGACTGATTGATTGAACCTTTTTTTTTTTTTGCACATGGAGGTGGAGGCCTAAGGTGAAAAGGTTTTATGAAACTCAGCTGAAGGCCTAGGACTGGGGTGACGGCGCGCGTGCCCATAGAGAGGGCTCTGCGTGCCGCCTGTGGCACGTGTGCCATAGGTTCGCCACCGTGGGTCTAGAAACTTTGGAAGCAGAACTACAGGGTGTCATAGTTGATTAGACAATAGCTGCCTCCTTCTCTAACACATGATACAGAGTGCAAGTTCTCTTCCTGTTTTCTTTCAAAAATCTGTTTTTCTCCTGCTTTTATATCAGCTCTTGCAAACAACTGCAGAACACCTTCCTTTGCTGCAAAGTAAAGTGTGTTTCAAAGTTACCATCACTTTTTAAGTTGTGGTCTGTTGGCAGAAGTAAGTCCAATGCTATTTATTGAAGAAGGAAAACTCAAGCTGGAGAGTGTTCCAATAGCATTGTGAAACTGAGTAAGGAGTTAAAGCAGACTGGATTCATGAGATCTGATTTTCCCAAGGGATAGATGAATTTTTAAAAAATCCCTCTCATCCCTGTGGGTCGTATGTGTCTTCCTCAATATTATGTCCTCTACTAGAGGCTGGGGAGTTTGAAGGTTCTGCACAGTATCTTAGCTGTTCTTAGTGCTGTGCTCTTCAGGACTGAGAGATCTAATGTTGTTCTTGGGATCTATTGGAGCCACTCTCCGAGTTTAAGAGTCACAGCCCCCAAGTACTTCTCCTACCACCAGTGGGAATCACTTTGGCCTTTACTTTCCTCATTCTCTTTAGTTTCTCTTTCAGGTGCTGTTACTTCTCCAGCTTCTCATATTCTTTCCTGACATTGCTGTCACTTGGCACCACTACATCTACTACCAATGCTGTCTTTTGATCTACTACCATGATGTCTGATTAATTGGCCAACACCTACTTGTCCATCTGGATCTGAAAATCCCATAGGAACTTAGACCTGTTATTCTCCTCAGCCCTCTATGGCATCTCCCATCTGGACTTGGAAAGGTCTAGCCTATACACTATGCAGACCCAGTGAATAATACCAGCTATTTGTTTGTGCCATTCAGCGTATGCTGTTCGTGCCTGCATCTTACACCCTGCCACTATATGTTGGACTGAGGCCTCTCTGCATAGTCTGTACTTCAGGTTCTGCCTAGTGAAGTAGACCCCTGCTTCTATATATCTGGTGCTTAGTACCTGTCCCTGTGCTGCTATGAGCACTACCTCAGTCTGTCTTTTAATCCAGCCATTGCCAGCCACTGGCTGGCTTTCCCAATGTCTGCCACTTCAGCTATCTGTTGATGGTACAGCCTATACCACTTGTTACCTCGCCAAGGTGTTTACTCCTGCCTGATCTTTCTTCCACATCTTCTGCTGTCTGTGGCCATTCTGGTACTTTTACTTCTTCCATACTTGCAAGATGTGTTGTCTGCTTAATTGGCCTGAGATCACAAATGTTTTATTTTCATGTTATTTTCCCCAGGTACTTGCACTAACAATATAAAAGATGAATGTCGCTTACCAAATGGTGAAGTAACAGATTGCCCCCACATGGCTACCCATTGGAAAGTGCCTGATCCTAAAAAAGATTACTGCTTTGGACCAACACCATCTGTACCAACTGACACTGTAACACCTTCACCTGGATCATGTGGCCTAGCTCCTCTATGTTCCCTTATTTTGAATGAGTAAGATAGAAATTATTTTATATTTATTTTTTCCATCCAGTGAATCTAGATACTCCTAAAACTTTTGTTTCATTATCTTTAACCTAGCAAAACAATACACCATAGAACAGTTTTTGAATTAAGGTATCTCAAATGTGGTAAATTACAGAATGCATCCAAATTTCCTTTCCTACCCAACAGTAGCCATTTACCTCCCTATTGGGAGGGGAGGGAAAGGGAAGGCATATTTCCAATGTTCCCTGCCAGATTCCCACAAGGAAACTCAATGCAAAACCAGTGGGAAGTTGGAAGTTGCCCTGGTTCCCACTCATTTTTTGCCCACTGTTGGTCATTTTGTTTCTTCGTTTAGGTAAGGAAATATTTCTGAAACTATGACCAGATAAGATATAGGTTGTCTAGTATAATCATACTGGTTGATTAAATGAGTTTTTTTTTGCCAAGCAACATGAATTCCATTATTCTTCTTACCTATGCAGTCCTTGGCACATCTTCAAATCTGCTGCAAAGTATTTAGGAATCTTCCAGTAGATTTTGAAGGCTTGTTGGAAGCTCCAGTAGCAGAGACAGATCCTGATCCTAAGCAGAAAATGTTTTCACTCAAAGAATCCTGTTTATGGATTCTAACCAATATCTTTTGATGAAGAGAAAATTCTCTCTCCCCATCCTTCTGTTTCTCTCTCAATTAAATCTTAGTCTACATATTTGATTATGATACAGTAGAAAATTCCACCAAAGTTTAGATCTTTGCCCTAATAAGTCTTGCTTGATGGGCCATACAATGCAGCAGCCTTTCTCAATTAGGGTTATACATCCTCTCCTGTGCAGTGACAATTGACATCAAGGTCAACTGTAGAATTGCCAAGGCAAGTTCTGCATTTGGCAGATTGTGGACTAACGTGTGGGACCGCCATGGAATAAGTCTTGCTACCAAGCTTAAAGTTTACCAGGCAGCAGTGCTAACTACCCTGTTGTATGCTAGTGAAACCTGGACAGTGTACAGGAGGCACGTTAGGCAACTGAACTACTTCCACATGACTTGCCTTCGTAGAATTCTGAGGATCCGGTGGCAGGATAAGATACCAGACATAGATGTCCTCTCCAGAGCAGGCCTATCATCAGTTTACACTCTGTTGATGAAAGCCCAGATGCACTGGGCAGGCCATATTGTAAGGATGCCAAATCATTGCATCCCTAAACAGCTCTTCTATGGTGAGCTATCTCAAGGAAAGCGATCGCACGGGGGACAAAAGAAGCGATACAAAGACACATTGAAAGCCTCTCTTAAGTCTCTGGATATTAACACCATCTCTTGGGAACTCCTGGCGCATGATCGACCGACATGGCGCACCTTGTTGTACCAGGGTTGCCAGACTATGAACACAGAAGGACAATCTTGGCACAAGAGAAGCAAGCACTCTGCAAAGCCAGAGCTGTAAATGCTGAAGTAACAGTATCTACATTTCTTTGTTCAGTATGTGGCAGAACATTCCATGCTAACATCTGTCTTATTAGCCACCTATGGGCACATTGTTGATGGCCCATAACCCACAAGATGTCAAGGTCTTCATCAAAATTGATGGACGAACAAAAAAAAAAAAATTGGGAGAAATTCTGCAAGACATTGTGTGTGGATCTACATACAAAGCTAGTTTTAGATATAATAATTTTTATTAGATATTTTATAATTTTATGGAGAGTGTCCCTGAGACCTGAACATTATTTCAAGGTCTCATCCAGGATAGAAGATTTGAGAAAGGCAACAATAGATTTAAAGCTGCTAGTCTATATGTTTGGTGAACAAGCGTGGATAAGATTACATCTCACAAGAGCAGAGTTCTATAATGGGCAGTTTGGGGCACATTCTAAACATTCTCACATTTAAACTTAGCAAGCTTGCCATGGAAATGCAGGCATCACGTATCCAGCTATGCCACTTTATATCCACATATCAAACCCACAAGCAGAAAACTAGAAGAGAGGATTACTCAGCCTGATATCTAAGCAGAAAAATCTATTTTCTAAACATATTGTAGATTTTTTTTTAGATAACTTTAGCTAGAATCCCTCAAATCATTCACCAGGATCCAATTTGGATGCAACTATTAGTGGAACCAAGTCCATTGCAAAGATCTAGAAACAGATGTTCAAAATCCAAAAGGATATGCAAACTGTTTATGACAATATGCTAAGAAGAAAAGATAGTGTGTTTTTGTTTCCTGTCAGGCTGAGGTAAAGATGGGAGCAAAGAAGCAGAAGGAGGAAGTTATAATAGGGATAAGCAGGAAGTGGGTTGAACAGCATTTCTAAGATTATACATCTTCCAGTTGGGAAACCCAAACCAGCAACGAAAAGAACAAGGGGGAGGTCCCTTGCTTCGTCTCTTTACATTGAATGCTTCCAGTGTTAAATAATGTACAAAAAGATAATCCTTTTCAAATGATGTATCTCCCACAATTATAACACTTCCATGGTTGCTGATTAAAAAGTGTTTCTCAAAAATGAGATATGCAACCAAATTATAGTAAAATTTTCTTTAAATGCTCTCCATTCTGTTAGTTTAATGTATGTTTGTAGAATCACTGAAAGTTCACAGAACTCCAGAAAACTGTCCTTTTATGATAGATAGATTTTGGAAAGATTTTATACCTGGAAAACGTCATAGTCAACGTTTTCCCTTATGGAAGATTCTTTGGCACCAGAAATTCCACATTCTGATTTTTTTTAAAATCATTTCCTTTCATTTTCATTTAGAATAATTCCATGATTTAAAGGAAGCTTTAACTAAATGAGTAAATTAATGTGTACTAATTCAGAAATATTTATTTTACACCAAGTACTTCTTGTATGGTTGCAGAATCTTCTCTGAGTGCCATGAGATCATACCCCCAGATCCCTATTTCCAAGGCTGCCTCTTTGATGCTTGCCATAAGAAAAATATCTCCATGCAATGTTCAGCAGTAGAGATGTATGCTTCTCTCTGTGCCTCTAAAGGTGTTTGTATTGATTGGAGAGGGAAGACCAACAATGAATGCCGTAAGTTCTGGGATATCAGGGCATTTTATTGTGTTTACTAATTATATGATAATTCTTACCTTACTTCCTTATTTTGAGTTCTTTAAATATATCTTCAATGAGAATTTGGTGTTGCATTCAAAAAAGTTATATCAAGAGAAAGAGGAGTGCTAGAAAGAACTTCTGATTCATTTATCAATTAAACATTTTCTTAATAAATACAAGAATATTGAACCACCATTCTTCCAGATAAACAATGTATTTCATTAAAAACTGTGATATGAAAAGAAGGGCACAGTTATACAAAATGTTTGTGTGTTTGTGTGTGTGTGTGTGTGTGTGTGTGTGTGTGTGAACAAAACCAAATACAGTTATGTGAAAAATAACAGATGCATGTGGTGGAATCATTGTTTATTTCTGTTTATTTCAACTATTAATAATTTTTATAATTTTATAATCATATATTTATATTAATTATAAATTATAATTAATTAATTAATTACACCACCACCTCACCTAAATGACTTTAGTCTACAGTTTACAGCAGTATAAATGTTCATGCTGTTTATAAATGATGTTATTGTTGTAGTTCCTGGGGTGTTTAATTTTTCTTGTTTTGTTCCACATGTGTAACTTACATAATAGATGGAAAGATAATGAGAAAAGAAGTTGTACTGAAGTTTTCTTCCAAATGCAAAATGTATGAAAAATACATTTCTATATTATGACAAATGTCTTTTGCTTATCATTTATAGCATTTAGCTGTCCTACAGATAAAGTATACAATCCATGTGGCCCCATCAATCCTTCCACTTGTGATAACAGGTAAGTAAAACTCAAAAGAGCTGTGAAAGTTTATAATTGTCATGATGAAATGAACAACATGCTGAATATCCATTTAAACTGCATTTTTTTACATTGAATAACTTTTTATTACATTGAAAAGGAAGAGTAAAGAATCAGCTCATCAGTGAAAATTGCAATATAACAACAATAGGCTAAGAAAGGGGCACTTGAAAGAAAAATACATAATAATGTGAAATAATTTTCTCCATTATTTGGACCTTCCCTTTGACTACTGTACTCAGTTCTGGCATGACATTAGATCAGTTAAATTGGAACTGGGCTGAGATGTAGGCTGAGAATATGAGCAGTGGAATTTAACAGAGGATTAGAAGCAAAAACTTAATGATGAATTACTGAAGGAATACAATATATTTAACCTTGAGGAAAAAGGATTGACTAGGACAGAGGTCCCCAACCCCCGGTCCATGGACTGGCACCAGTCCACCGCATGCCAGCAACCAGTCCACGCAAACAAATGAAGACCTATCCACAGGATGCAGGCAGCATCCAGAACCACAGCCCCTCAAGTCCACCCCCTCTAGTTCTCCATGGGACCAGTCCCTGGTGCCCAAAAAGTTGGGGACCCCTGGACTAGGAGTCATGATATCTCTGTTCAAATACCCAATTAAAGCTTTATACAGAAGCAAAAGTCAAGCTTATTATCTATCATTTCAAAGAATAAGATACAAAACAATGTATTTAAAATACAGAAAGACTCCGAGCTAGGAAAAGTGTCTTGACAGTACGATCACTTTGAACTAATTACCAAAGAAAATAGTAGGTTCAAGTACAGGTCAGAGAGCTTTTTGTTGGGGGTGCTTTAATTTAGAGTTCTGCACAGAGCAGGGAATTCGATTTAAGAGCCTAAGTAGCCTCTTCTCACTTTATGAGTTATGATGCTATTGTTATAATACCCTGTATACCTTTCTTTCCTATGAAAAATCATATGTTCCCCCCCAAAGTTTGTTCCAAAGAGATGGGAACCACTTTATAAGAACATAGACAGAGAATAAGAATTCTCCTTTCTACTTTATCAGGAAAAATGTATGTTTCTATAGATGCAAGACGAATTCTATGGATTTATTTCAGTCACAGTTTCATAAATCATAAATTTTGACCTGTGTTAAAAAAAATTAGTCTGGTGCCATGAATTTGAACCTCATGGACTTGAACCTCTTCTTTTATCATGACTAGTTCTCTCACAGGGAAGATAAAATTTGGATGACTAGTGGCACTTACATCAACTTAAGCCATTTCAGAAAAAGTTATATTGACCTTATGCATCTCATTCCTCCCTTCATTCTTATTAGTTGCACACACTGTGGATGCTCATAATGTTGGGGTGCAGCTACTACACTAATTTGTGCTTCTCTTTTCATGGAAGTGGTCCTCCGCAGACCGGAATAACAGAAGGTTGCTTCTGTAAAAATGGAACCAAACTCTTCAGTACCCATAAAGATACCTGTGTCTCTGATTGTGGTGAGTGTTCTTATTAAAGAAAAGGGGAGGATACCATAATGCAAAGGGACTGCTGGACAGACCAGCCAGCTAGATGTCATCTCAGTGGTTTCCAGGAAAGAAGATCAAAAATTATTTATTGAAAGGAGATTTTCACTTAAATAATGAGCCGAGGTGGCGCAGCAGTTAGAGTGCAGTACTGCAGGCCACTTTAGCTGACTGTGTTCAGCAGGTCAGCGGTTCAAATCTCATCAGCTCAAGGTTGACTCAGCCTTCCATCCTTCCGGGGTAGGTAAAATGAGGACCCAGATTGTTGGGGGCAATGTAAATATATATATACATTGCTTACTGGTGTACACCACTTAGAGAGTGCTTGCACTTAAAGTGGTATATAAGTTTCATAAATAAATAAATAAATAAATAAATAAATAAATAAATTATGGGTGGATCAAAACCACACACCCAATAGCATGGACATGTGAAACACTTTACTATAGATAGGGAGGCCTTGTCTGTATCTACCAACTGCAGTACACAAAACTGAGTAAAAGATCCTGGATAACAGAGACCATTTGTATTAATATTCAAGATGTATAAAAATATGGTCTTCTTTTGCACAGATATGGTTTCATTCAGCAGAGGATTCCCCCCCCTCCACAAATGCTTTCTAAAAAGTGTGTAACAATCCCTCCATAAGTATCATTTGGCAGTGGATCAGCATCCTTACAGAATGAAGAACCTCTATCATTATTTACCCATGAAATCTACAAAATGGGACCACAACTTTCCTTGTGCTATCCAAAGTTCAGGTCACCTGACATTCCTAACATCTTCCTGTTGATTTTTGATCCAGGAGACAAAAGAGATCGCATTAGATTCCAGACGCCTCAACTGTTGGTGGCCCTTTGCTTTCTAAATAGGTTACATTTCTATCCTTCCCATTAAATATAGCAGGAGGAGTATGCTGTAGATCCTATCAATTAAAGAATGTCAGCTTGTGAGACCCAGGAAGTGGGCCTTCTCATGTGCTGCTTATTCCATTTGGAACACTATTCCCCCTGAAATTAGAGTGGATCTGACCCTGCTAGCCTTCCAGAAAGCCCTTAAGCCATGGATATTTTTAGTGTGTTGGGAGAACCCATAATATGGTTATTGCTTTCTTTAGACTGGCTTGGTTTCTCAGCTGCTGCATGTAGTGCTGTTTTATATAATGTTCTATGTTGTTTTTAAATGTTATAAGCCACCCATAGTCATTAATAAAAATATAGTAAAATATTATAAATCAAATAATTTCACTTAGATGTTCTTGGTGCCAAATATTCATTCATATATATATACATTTTTTTCCAGGTTGTGTTGGTTCAGATGGGTTACCCAAAGCGGTAAGTATTAAAGCTTTTATTGTTTCATGGGTGAAAATCTACAGGTAATAGGAGCTTCGTGGATAATAATTTTTTTCAACACTTTTTCAATATTTGGAGAGTTTTAATGAAGCAATAGGAAAAAATTACATCCATTGTCTCAATTTCAGCGAGCAGCAGGAAAACTCACTGTACTAATTGTGCACTCCTTTGCTTGTATATCTCTTTTCACAGCCTGGAGAAACTTGGATTAGCAATTGCCAGAAATGTACTTGCGAGGAATATTCTCTTATGGTACAATGTATTGAAGAACCATGTCCTACCAAACTTACTCCTGTGGAATGTTCTTTTGAAGGGTTTGTACCCATCACAATATTAACCCCTGAAGAAAAGTGCTGTCCTCAAAAGCAGTGTGGTAGGTATAATTTTACAATCCAATCCAATTTGACAATCCAATATTGTATTGCAAATGCCCAAGCTAATTCCAGTTTTCATTTTGGAAACTCCCATTTATTAGATTACGCTGGGTGCTTCAGTTTGGCCAATGCTCTGTGTTATCTAGATTTATCTAGTAGCAATAGAACTGAGACTTCTATACCACTTCACGGTGCTTTACAGCCCTCTCTAAGCGGTTTACAGAGTCAGCATATTGCCCCCAACAATTTGTTTCCTCATTTTACTGACCTTGGAAGGATGGAGGGCTGAGTCAACCTTGAGCCAGTGAGAATTGAATTGCTAGCAGTCAGCCGAATTAGCCTGCAATATTGCATTCTAATCATTGTGCCACCGCAGCTCATAGAGAAGTTAATCTGCCCAAAAAACAAATTTGCTTCAAAATGAGAAAGGCAGCAAATAAAAATATAGGTGTACTTTAAAAGAGAATATATTTAGCTCCGGTTTGAACTGTGAGGTCCTTGGTGTTGTTTGAGCTTGGTGGTATTCTTGCAGATGTTTCATTACCAAGCTAGGTAACTTTCTCAGTGCACTGATGATGTTAACTAGTTCGATACTGAAACATCTGCAAGAAAACCACCAAGTTCAGAGTGCATCAAGACCCTATAGATGTATTTTCTAGTCTCTACAACAGGGGTAGGCAACCTTGGCTCTTTTATGACTCGCTAATGCTTATAAGATACTGTTGTGCTGCTGAGAAACTCTGCCAATTCTGTTTTTATGACAATGAAGTTAAGCCATTGCAGCAGGGATTATAATTACAGTTATAATATTATAGCTTAATATCTAAAAAGGTTAAATCATGGCAACTGGGCCAAAGTTTATCAAAACTGAGACATTTCATTACTCATCCAAATAACTTCGTCAGTCAAAATGAAAATTTGGGTAGGCAGAGAGTCATTGGAATAAACCAACTCTTGCCATACAGACTGCAGGGGGTTTCTCCCCAAATGAAAAGCAACATGTAAATGAAGACTCAATCATCCAAGACAAAAGTATCTAAACAGGCTAAATCATGTCAACTGGACCAAAATTTATTAAACTATAACTTAATGCACTCTTTGATTTGCTCAAGATAAAGTGTAGATTAAGTGATACTAATAAATATTAAAATGCATCATATTTAAGTCACTCATTGCTCTTCCTCCTTTTCTTTTTCATTCTGTAGTGTGCAACACTTCTCACTGTCCCAAATCTATAGAAACCTGTCCACCAGGGTATGAATTAAAAAAGGAAAACTTGCCAGGAAGCTGCTGCATTAATACCACTTGTGGTAAGAATTGAGCCATCTTTAAAAGCAGTGGTTATATTGTTGTAATATTCTCCCCTACCCCATATTCCAATGCTTGCAAAAACGCAGAAAGCGTATTCATCTTCTCTCCTGGAAAGTATTATAGAGGAAATCTCTTTTTGTGGGCTTTTTGTATTTCCTGGTGTAAACTGATATTTAATCTACACAGGTTGATCAAGGGCATCTAAGGTTGTGTAAGGACTCACTTCAACTAACCACCCAAGAAAGTAGAACTCTTGAAACAGAGTATTGTCTCAAAAGGATACCTTTATTAGGGGTCAGTGACAGTAAGGAAGTCAAGGCGAGATCTGGGGAAAATCCCACGCAAATGGTATAGTTAAGCAAACAATATTCCTCCTCCCACCAAAGTCATAATGTCCATTTGAAATTAAGTTAATCCACAGATAGTATGATGTGCTGGTAACTGGCACAGTTGGCATGCATCTCAAGGTCTTCTCCAGTTTTCATTTCTCCAGTAACCATCTCCCTGATAAGAGAGACACATTCCTTTCTCAAGGATAGAGGCAGGAAAGGGAAAATAGAAAGCAAAAATTATCCCAAGTTTTCCCTCTCCTCAGCAGAACAGCAGGCCCTGTTTGGGGTCCTGACAGGTTGAGCCAATCCTTAATTCCTTATATACATCATTTCTGCTACTAGCCTGTTGGCACCAAGGACTGGTCTTTTCTTCTACCTTAAATCATGTGTGGACTGTCCTAAATAAATCCACTGACCTTATTGAAGATGCTATTTTTACAAAATACAAATGGATGAAAGCAGTCTATTTCCAATCTGTAAAAAATATATGCTCCCCCATCTCTGTTTAATCTCCTTTTTTAAACACTTCATCAACATTAACATTTGCAATTCAATGTATTATAATTCATGTCATAGAAATAGCTGTTCTTCTAAATGAAGCATTCATTTTCATTGTCATTTGATCCTACTGCATATTGTTATGTAACAGTAAGAAAAAATGCAAATACGTAAATTCCAGCAGTGGTCTGAAACAGATCATGCAAAATTGCTTAAGCCATACTTGCTCGGAATATTCAGTATCATACTCTAATATATATGGACTCGTATTTGAGATATGCATTTGGGTAAGACCAAATGCTGTAGAATTCCCAAAGATTAAATTACTCAAGTATCCTACTCCGTATTGAGTGCTAAATAAAAAAAAAAAATACCGCACAACTCTTAAAAATAAACCTTTAAAGAGCAAATTGTATCATTTTATGCCATTTTCCTTCTCGGTTAATTTGATCTGTTGAGAACAAATGCTAAGATTAATTATAATATATTTTTGTGTCCCACAGTGAAAGTACCAGGCTGTGTTGTCAATGGAACATTCTACAGTGTAAGTAATTTCCATGAAAATAAAGAATAGCACTACTTAAACAACTGATTCAGGTCCAATGTTAACAATGCATTTCTTATAGCAGGCCATTTTTGCTTCTCTGGTTTACTAAAGATTTTCAGGAATGACAATGGTAAAATTCTTCCTTTTGAAAATATAGAATCCTGCTCTTATTTGTATTTGTTCTCAACCTTATCATTATTTATTTCATTTTTCTATCCTGTTCAACAAATGCAGTTCCCTTGTAGGAATACCATGGAATTAAAAACATTATGCAATCCATGGTTAACCATAAATCACAATATACACTAAGATGAAATATTCATCAGTATTAAGAGTGAGAACAAAAGCAGTCATAATACAGCACTCAAAATCACAAGACCACAATAAAAATAAAAGCCGAATAGTGTGAGAACTGATTTAAAAAAAAAAAAAAATCGTCACCTGGCATCTTAAAGATCAAAACACAGTATTGAGCATGGCTCTTTCTGAAGAACATATCACAAGTAGATTGACTAGTACAAATAAACTTTTTTCTTATGGTCAATACATCTTCCTTTATGAGGTGTTGTTTACTGTTATTTGGATATTAGCTCTATTGTAAACATCTCTTTCACTATCAGTATAGCACACACTGTATTTCCAGGTATGAACTTAAGTTAAAATTATTTATTACTGTTTCACTTTTCTTCTTCTTCAGCCTGGGGCAGTCGTACCAGGAGGATTATGTGAATCATGCAGATGCTCTGAAAAAGAAGATTTAGAAAACAATGTAGAGTGTGTGTCTCAAACATGTGACAAAAGATGCCCACTGGTAAGCCACATTGTTCTTTTTTTTAAAAAAAAAATCCCATGGCTTTGGAATTCTCTGAATCTATCCATTTACTCACTACTTATAAAAAAGGATCTGTGGTTTTATGAATTTTTCCCAATTTTTTGAACTACAGGGTCATGAATACCAGGAAGTATCTGGAAAATGTTGTGGTGAATGTAGGCAGTTTGCTTGTGTTGTGACACTAGATTCCCATCCTGTCAAAGTGCTCGAGGTAACTAACAATTTTGCTAACTACATTGTTCATCAAAATCAAGTTTAATCCACTCATATAGCTAATACCGACCCAATTTTACAATCTTTTTTGTGACGGTTGTTAAGCGAACCCCAAGGTCAATAGGTGGACCAATTGTTTGCTATGGGTCATTTTGGCCAAAAACTAGAAATAAATGCCAGCTTTTGGCAAAACCAAATACAGTCTCATGACTGCAGGATGCTGCCAACGGCCATGTATGGAGGCCAGTTGCCAAACACTTAAAGTGCAATCATATAATTGTGGAGGAAACCGAGCCGTCAAAATTTTGAATGCCAATCGTTAGTAACTTTTGAAGGTCTATTGTAACTTTGAATGGTCACTAAGTGCCCAGTCGTAAGTTGAGGACTCCCTGTACTGAATTCATGATAGGGTACATGCCTTTTTTAGGATTCCCCAGATGGGCAGCTATAACTCAACCCCTGGGCCCAGGCCAAACTTCCATTGTTGGTGGACATACCAAGCCAACTGTTAGCATCAAACTACATATGTGCCAATTTAACAAATCACATTGAACAGAGTTGCGGAATGCTAGGATCCATCCAGTTGTTGTATCCCCCAGCTGTTCAAAATTTTCACATCTATTATTTCACATTTTGAGGACTCCTCTTACTGAACTGCATGCCACCCTCCTCCATCCCAATCCCAATTCTGTTCTCTAAGAAATTAAGGAATTTGTGATCATGAACTATTCTTATGTTAACTTCTAAAACAAACAAATAACTACCATTGTGGCTATTTTCAGCCAGGAGAAACTTGGACCTCACCAGGAAACAATTGTACTTCATATGAATGTGATCTTATTGAGGACCAATATGTTCTCGTCACTATCAAGAAAGCCTGCCCTCTCTTTGATTCAAATGAATGCCGGCCTGTAAGTTTCATTGATCCAACAGTCTTTTATTTTATTATATCTGATTCTATGCAGTGAAAGTCAATTTTATCGAAAGATTAAGTTGGAATTGGGTTTATTATGGAAGGTTTACAACTGAGCTATGTCAGTTGAATTTAAGCAAAAGCTTCAGCAATAATCTGACATTCTGTTCCTAAAATACATTGAGATCTAAAAAGCTCTATAAAACCGTAAAATTGGTTGGCATTGTCAGTAATACCTGGCTTTACTGAACTAAAGGTGATAATATATTCAAAGCAAAGTGAATACTGAGATAGAGAATTAGTGGGAAAGCTTTTGTTGTTGTTTCATATATAATATTTATAGAAGAAGTAGATGCATCAAGATATATAATATCCTTTTAGGACTATCACCCAAATATTGTTGTTTTGTTTTTGTTTTGTATTCCTCTGGAAATTCTAATCCTACATGATACCTCTGTGGGGAGAAATGATGGTTTTAACATCATAAATTAAAGTCTGAATTATTTCATTTTTTATAGGAGGATGTGGTATTAACTGAGGATGGGTGTTGCAAGTTGTGCAGGTCTAAACGTAAGTTATGCAAGCTACATTAGCATAAGTCAAAAAAATTCAGATTCGTATCAACCATAAAGCCAATTTTTGTGTTGCTATAGATTCTACTCTAGCCTTTCAGATGGCATTGGACTCCAATTCTATTCAAGCCCAATTGTTATACTTGATTGGCAAAGTTGCTAGGATTTGTAGTCACAGAATTCCCTACAGAACCAAACTGATATGGTTATCATCCACTTGTCACATCCAAAGCACACATAGATACTACCTTACATGCACACATTATACAGGTAATCCTCAGTTTACAACAGTAATTTAGTGACCGTTCAAAATTAAAACAGCACTAAAAAAAGTGACTTATGACCATTTTTCACATTTACGACTGTTGCAGCATTCCCATAGTGAATTTATCAAAATTCAGACATTTGGCAACTGATTCACACTTATGACTGTTGCTGTGTCCTGGGGGTCATGTGATCACTTTTTGCGACTTTTTGACAAGCAAAGTCAATGGGGAAGCCAGATTCACTTAATAACCATGTTACTACTAACTTAACAACTGCAATGGTTCACTTAATAACTGTGGCAAGAAAGGTTGTGGGGCAAAATTCACTTAACAACTGTCTTGCTTAGCAACAGAAATTTTGGGCTGTTATGGTCGTAAGTTGAGGACCATCTGTACATGTACACTTTCTTTTATTTTTTTGTTTGCTTGTTTTATATTTTGATCAACAACTCAAGATTTGTTTTTACTTTTTCTTCCACTTTCAGAAGAAAAATTCTGTATACCAGCAAATATCACCAAAACAATAAAACACAATGGTTGTGAAGCTTCTTCACCTATTGAAGTAACATACTGTGAAGGCCAATGTAACAGTTTTTCAAAGTAAGTAACCTATAATTTTATTGCATGTTGGTAGCTCATTGTGAAATGACTGTTTAAAAAATCTTCACATGCCATGAGATATGAATGCAAAGAACCTATCTAAGATCTGGTTCTTAAGATATCTCTGCAAAGTAGTCCAGATGACATTTTACCTTCATCTTTCCAAAATCTGAAATGCAAATTCAGCTAAGACTCAATTCCATTGCTGGTGCATTGCCTATTATCTGAAATTATTCCAAATGAAGATAAAATTCTATTTAAGGCCTTTTTAGATAGATCAGGGTGCAGGCCTAGCTCCTGTTCCCTGAGGAAAAAAAATGGCAAATGATCAAGAAATGGAAGATGTGGTATCTGGCAGATGTCAAAGAAAAGGTAGAAGCAAGCAGGTGAGTGAGAAGAGAGAATGGCACCAATGAACAAGGAAGAGGGGGAAAAAACGCTATGATGGCCCATCAACAGTAATAATCTGAAGGACCCCAAAACTGATTCCAGCCCTGAAGGTATTCCATTGATGGAGATACTGTAGGTCAGGGGTCTCCAACAGTGGTGGGATTCAAATATGTGAACAACCAGTTCTCTGTGTGGATGCCACTTCTGGAAGTCCATTCTGGGCCTGGGCAACAAAAAATTAGCTACTGGTTCTCCTGAAGTGGTGCGAACCGGCTGAATCCCACCACTGGTCTCCAACCTTGGCAACTTTAAGACTTGTAGACTTCAACTCCCAAACTCCTCAGCCAGCCACACTGTGTGAGGAATTCTGGGAGTTGAAATCGACAAGTCATAGAGTTGCCAAAATTGGAGAGCCCTGCTGTAGGTTATAATGTTTTGACTGCCCAAAGCTATGCAGACATGCCAATTGAAAAGACAAAAATCTGATGAAACCAAATAATGGTTGGTGAGGGGTGGTGGACTTCATCCTGCAGTAGCTTATCTCAACCTCAATTTGCTTTCATCATTCAGGTATTCATATGAAGCAAGCATGATGGATCATACATGCAACTGTTGTCAAGAGCGAAAGACTACGAAGAAGTATGTGACCTTGATTTGCCCTGATGGTTCCACCATGGATTATTCTTACCTCCATGTTGATGAGTGTGAGTGTGTCGAGAGTAAATGCAACATTGTGCCCACTCCCATACCACATCAACAGGAACAGCAGCAACAGGTGACCATGTTCCCACCAGACCAGCAGCAGCAGCAGCAGCAGCAGCAGCAGCAGCAGCAGGAACAGCTGCAACAAAAGAAGCCATAAGAATAGAAATTGCGGCAGGAATGAAAGGGACAATTGGACCAGTCTAAACATTTTCAAAAAGTGACCCAGAATTGAATAAAAGTTAAATTGTAATAAAACGTAAAATGCTCAAGCAACATTCAACCAAATATTTCCTCTAGCTAGTCTTCAAGAAAAGATTTTCTCTTCTGCATGCCAAGCATTTTGAAATGTTCTGACCTTTTCTTGGGTGTAGGCTCAACTGAGACTATATGACTAAGTTGAAAAAAAACTGGGGGGAAGGAAGGGAAGAGGGCTTGGTGTCAATAATTGGAGTCAGGGGTGAAGAAATAAAAAGGATGTATTGGTTTGATTTGGGATCTTCTCTTGAGAAGCAACAATTCCTGCATTAAGTGACAGGTGGTACCATTTTAATTAAGACTGGTGGAGTTTTTAACCACTAGCCGACAGAAGCTAGACAAGATCTAAAAACTTTGAGTTGTGACACAAACATTGGCTGGTATTTGCTAAAATGACAAGTGAAGCTTTCAGTTCCCTGGCATAATTTTTCTTACTGTGCTTCCAAATTTCTTTTTCTATAAACTTCATTTTTGCCTACTCTTTCCAAATATGAGACAGGCTATAATGATGTGAGATTCTTTGTAGATTTGTTACTATTGCAACAAGTGGGGGGAAACCCGTGAATTGTGATTGCTGCTGAAGAAGACTGTTTACATGATATCATCAGCATAGAAGTTGTAGGAGGATCTGGATTATTTTTGTAACTGTTTACAGAATGGACTAATATATGTATATGCACACCAAAAGGTCACTGAAGAATTTTTGTAAACCGAAGTAATAAATAACAATAATATAACTTAGAATTTCTATTCTGAGTTAGTGAATTGTTTTTGAACATTTAATTACTATTTATTTGTTTCCAGAAAATAGATTTTCAGGGATATTTTCTTCTGAATAAGGGCTCTACTGTCTGCCACTAATGTCTGGTTGAGGGAAAATTTCATCTTTTATATTTGTTTTTTGTTTCTCAACAACAACTAAATGATTAATAAAATTTCAACATTTTGCAGGGGATATGCTTCTTGTATGTGTGTCATATGTGCCATACCAAATCAGTATCTCATTTAACTTTATTAGTAATATACTTTAAATAGCCAAAGAGCACATTTGTTTGTGTAACAATGTTATTCATATTGTGGCATTAATAATTCTATTTTACATTGCTTAATATAGAAATTACCATCATCCCCCAACTTCTGTGCTGCCTTCTTGGAGTGGTGAGAAGGGGGGGGGGTCTCTTCCTGAGAGAGGTAAGCAAAGAACACAGGGAGCACAGTCCAAGAGTACAAGTAATCCTCAACTTACAGTAATTGAGCCAGAATTACAGCTGTAAGTCATTACAGTTATTAAATGGGTAACCTTGTGACTATACAGGATTCATTAAGTGAACACCATAGTCACTCAGGAAATCTAATTTATTCAATTGGCGCTTTTTTTGCTGAAAACTGGGAATAAATGCCAAAAAGCAACAAAAAACATCAAAAATTGTGGTCATGCGACTGGAAGTTACTGCTAACGGCTGTAAACAGGAGCCAAATGTGAGCCAGTTACCAAACATCCAAAATCTGGATTATCAGGTTGAGGCATGTGGCTGATGGAACTTCAAAACTGTGTCATAAGTACCTTTGGGGGGATCTGTTATAATCTCAAACAGTCGCTAAGCGACCAGTCATTAAGCAAGGACTACCTGTATATACTCTCAATGAAGGTCATCCCAGATACCCAGCTAAAGCAAGCAGGTGCCACCATTGAGCAGTGGTGATATAGGAAGATGCCAGAGGTAGATGATCACTTTAGTGAGAATGGCAAAGGCTTTGATTCGTATTGCATGGGAAGGCAAAGAGAAACCCCTCCTGTATTTTTACCAAGAAAATCACATGGATAGAAATTTTATTTTATTAATCAAATGTATATGGCCACCCATCTCACTGAAGGTGATTGATGACATAGTGCCAGATGATGAGCCCCTCAGGTTGGATGGCACTAATATGCTACTGAGGAAGAGCAGAGGATCTTTCACAACTGGTGTTTATGACATGGCTATATTAAAGGCTTTGGGACATGTAGTGGCTGAAGTTGCCACACAGGAAAAGAAAATCTGAAACAGCAACAGACAGAATTACACTAGGGGCATGAAATGTAAAAAGCACAGGAAAGCTCAACACGGTGAAAAATGAAATGAAACAATTACAAATTTGGCACCAGCAAATTGAGATGGACTGAGATGGAGCATTTTCATTCAGAAGATCACACTCTTTATTACTCGACACATGAAAAACAAAGAAGAAACGGTCTTGCTTTTATGGTGAGAAAGGAGATAGTATGAACAGTACTTAGCTAGAATGCAATCAGTGATGAAATAAAATCGATTCAACTTTGTGGACAATCCTTTAATAGAGGATCAATCAATATAGAAGTGATCAACTTCTTTTTCTTCTGCATCAGTGAAATCAATAGAACATGCAAGCAAGATGTGCTGCTTGTGATTGGAAACTGGAGTGCCAAAATTGGAAACATGAAAGAAGAAAATATAGTTGGATTCTACGGCTTAGGAAACCAAAATGAAGCAGGAGACTGACTTATCCATTTCTGTCACTCCAAAGATTTCTTCATAGCTAACAATGTATACGAACAACCAAAATTATGTCTTTATGTATGTGTATATGTATATCACTAAATTGAATATATAAATATCAAACTGACTATATTGTTGCTAAAAGGAGGGGGAAGAGCTCAATTATAACATCAAGGACATGGACACAAATTGCTCACGTGCAAATTCCTAGGTAAGCTAAAGAACATAGATCCACCATTGCTCACAAATTGCTCACGTGCAAATTCCTAGATAAGCTAAAGAACATAGATCCACCATTTTCAAAGAGAACATTAAGAATTGCTCTGAAGTCTTGCACTTCATTGATAGAGAACCAGAGGAATTCTGAAATGAACTCAAAGAAGTTTTTAAGAATGAATGTGAAAAGAGACTGTCGAAAAAGAAAAGAAAAAAGTAAACCTGTCAGAACAAACCATGGAAAGTGCTAAGAAGAGAAGATAAATCAAAGCCAGGAAAGACAAAAACCTCAGAAAGAAACTTTCAGTGAGCTGTTAAAAGAAACAGGAAGCTGTATTATAGCAACATCTATAGAGACATTGAAGATGGAAACTGACATGGAAAACAAGGAAAGTCTTTCAAATGATCTCTGAACTCGGAAAAAGATTTCAGCCTTGAACTGGTATGCTAAAAGATGTCAATGGACAAATAGTAACAAATTCAAAGGAGACCAAAGGAAGATGGAAGGAATATAATAAAGCACTATACAGTAGAGATATTAACTTCCAAGTTACTTTAGAAGATATTTCTTACTCACAGAAACATCTAGTACTAAAAAGATCAAATTAAATCCACCTTCTGGCCATTGCCAAGTTAGAATGTTATAGGAACTGATGGAATACCCACTGAAATATGTCAAGCAATAGAAGAAGAACCAGGCAAGGTTCTAACCAAACTATGTTAGCAATTCTAAATAATGGCACAGTGGCCAGTTGATTGAACGAGGTCAACCTACATTCCAATATAAAAAAGGAGACTTAACAGAGTGTGTAAACTATTGTACAATATACTTCATTGTCATAGTATAGAGAGAATTTTGCAAAACAGACTGCTCCAGTTCAGCGAAGAAGTGCAAGAAGACTGCAAAATCTCTCCTTATTCAACCTATATGCTGAATATATATTAGGGGAAGATGGATGGAATCCAATACAATTTAGCCCTAACCTGTTCTTTCAAGTCTCCGAATGATGCACTCATTGTTGCTATAACTGAGCCCATGTGCCTTGCTATTGGTAACCATTGTGTTCTTTTTCCTTTTGCCTTTTCCAGCACCAGAGCCCTTTCCAGAAGGCCAGGTCTTTGCATTATGTTTCTGAAACAGAATAAATTGTGCTCAAGTGAAAACTTTAGGTTGATCTATTTGATGTCCACAGTGTTCTCAGGGATCTTTTCTGACTCCAAAGTTCAAAGACATTAAGACATACTTTTCCTATCCTGCTTTTTAAAAGTTCAACCTTCACTTCCATAGAATATCCCAAGGAATACCATGGCTTGCATAATACTGATCTCTGTAGGTATAAATGTTAATAATAATAACAAGTTGGAAGAGACCTTGGAGGTCATCTATTCCAACCCCCTGATCAGGCAGGAAACCCTACACCATTTCAGACAAATGGCCGTCCAGTCTCTTCTTAAAAACTTCCAGTGTTGGAGCATTCACTGCTTCTGGAGGCAGGTTGTTCCACTGGTTAATTGTTCTAACTGTCAGGAAATTTCTCCTTAGTTCTAGGTTGCTTCTCTCCTTGATTAGTTTCCATCTGTTGGTTCTTGTCCTGCCTTCAGGCGCTTTGGAGAATAGCTTGACTCCCTCTTCTTTGTGGCAGCCCCTGAGATATTGGAACATTGCTATAATGTCCCCCCTCGTCCTTCTCCTTGTTAAACTAGACATACCCAATTCCAGCAACCCAATGTTGCCAAGGTCTTCCTGGCTGCTATACCAAGTGCTAGTCTATGGTGTATTTCTCAACAGCTTGTTCCTTTTTTGTTGATGTTTGATCCCAAAAGGATCAAAGTTGTTCTACCTCTTGTCATTAGTCTGACCTTCTTTAAATTTAATGTTCTTCCATGGATAGGGTTGGAAAATATCCCATGTATGTCTTTTCTAACAGTAAACTGGATGGACTAATGGTTTGACTTAGCACAAGATAATTTTCTATGTTACACTAGTAAAAAGTTAAGCTGGGCAGGAAAAAGAAGATGAAGGATTATTTTTACTAGTTGAGTATTTCTATATGGAACTTGCACCCCTCTTTTACTGTTAAAAAGATTACAGTATACAGTTGTACAATGTATGAATTAAACATAGAGTATTCTAGCACAAATCCCTATCACAGGACTTGAACAAGAAGCCCAATCCAAAAAATACAACAAACAAACCCTGTGAAACCCACAGACAAGTTACGTGTCTATTTTTTTAAAAAAAACTAAAAGATATTTCATTTCTTGAAAGAAGTACGGTACATAGTCTCTGATCCTCACTTTTTAAACTTGCAAACAAACTGAAAGCAGAAATAAATTGAAATGCAGCTTTAAGACATAATTTAAGACAACTTAAACCTGAACATGGACAATTCATTCTCAAAATAATAGAACTTGATATAGTGCTTGGCCAATGTCAGTCCTGCATCATAAGGCATGCAGACAAAATACTAAACAGCCTTTTTCTAAAAGTTTTGATCACATGCTAAACTGACACTAGAGGGCAATGCAGCCATGGTTAAATTTCCTTTTTCCCTCTATATTCCATCATGCCTCGGAGATATCTCTTAAAATAACATCTATGATATCTGTGACCTCTGTCAGGACAATTGAGCTCAGCTATACTGTGCCGCCACACATGCACTCCAGTTTTCTCCTAGAATACACCCGTTAGGTAGGTAATTGCAGAAAAACTGATGGTTCCATCATGTAGCCCAATCAACTTCACATAAATAGAAGCATTCTTTGTCATATAATCTGGTTCACTGTTCCTTGGCCAATCTTTAATTAGAACAAAGATTAATTTGAGAATACTAGATCTTTCAGGAATAAACCATAGAAGAAAAGGGCTATTGTCTATGAACTTTTAATGGAACAGAACTATGAAACTGACAATTTACAATGCTGCAGTTCAAACAAAAATCCTATACAGCCTTAACTATTACTTAGGGGTGATGAAACATTCTATAGATACTGACTTTGTAATATACATGTTTATAACTGCAGCAAACTTGGTCCTAATAAATAGGTTAATTCTATTTTTAGTGAAGTCACAGCAGATAGCAAGACCTAACTGATCTTCGTTGATCTTGAAATGGTGGGTCAAGGTAGATCTGGTTAATACTTGGATGGGAAAGCACCAAGGAATATCCAAACTATAAGATATAACATGGAATTTTGAAAAACATTCTGGTTTCTAGAGTAG